ATTACCAAACCTACCCTTGTAATCTATAATTTTTGTTTGTTTTAACTATCGAATTTCTGTAACTTTATCTATGAAAACTAAAATCAAAAGCCATTAACTGTCACACAAATCCTAATTACTTTTGGCTGTGATCGCTTGTCCTGTGTGTGTGTGTGCAGTTCACTGTGGTTTCCAAATAATTGCATTTAAAGCCCTTTACTTTCGAAATAGGTCATAAAAGGCCAGCAACTCCCCCCAACCGCCCGTATTGTCAAACCCACAAAACTCACCTGTAACCAGGAAAAGGTGAGAAGAGCTTTGAGCTGCGTTTTAAAGTTCTTTGTTTCGGCGTGACTATTTTCCGGCAGAGGATTATCTGATTTCTTGATGGTCTTCGATTGGGTTTCAGTTAATTGACATATTGCCGCTGAAATTTGCACTCGCGAATGTATCTCAAAGATGCGGATATATCATACAGATGTGCGGATGTATCTCGAGGATGCGATGCGATGCGGCCAGATGCGATGCTCTCACGCGACTGATTTTCGGTGTTTTCAGTGCTCGGTGTTTTTGGTCTTCGGTATGTTTGCTACTCGGTTTTTTCGGTGTCCATCGGCTCTCCGTCCTCTCCACTCTCCGCTCCGCCGTTGTTTTTGTTCTTCCTGGAGGGCAAACAATTTGTGTTTTTGTGGGACAACCAACAAACAAGAGCACAAGGAAACTGAATCAAAATAAATGCCTTAAATAATTGATGGCATTTCCAATGGCAGCCGAATCAGCCGTACAGAAAGTCTAATCAAATTTTGACTAATTTAATATCTAACTGACTTATTTTTCCGAATCAAAAGTAATTTTGTATAAATTTGAATATAGGACTACCGTTTAGTTCGCGACGCGCCAGAGAATCGGGACAAAAATACACTGAGAGATGGAGACGTCCACTCCGCTGGTTGACTCGAACTGGATTGAAAAGCTGCCAGCCGCTTGCCGCCTTCATTTCCTACTCGAAGAGAGTGCAAAATCAAGAGAGAGAGAGTGTATCTAAAAAGTTCCATTTGTGGGTTTCCATTGACACCCTTTTTCCCATTTCGGTGGCTTCGCCTGTTCCACTGTCACTCGTTCCACACCAGCTATCTCTTTCTCTCTCTCTCTTTCTGGATGTGTCCAGCTGATTACCCTTTCCAGGAGCTTCGACTTTTATCAGTTTCTGATAGCATCTTCTAGATTGCGGTTGAACGTCAATTCAGTCAGCTGTTCGAGCTCTTTCTTTTTGAAGGTCTCATTTGTTTCAGTTTAGGAGAATTAAGAATTACTTTTAGTCTTAAGATTTACTTCCAGATTGTATACAAATATTTCTTGGTTTGACGAGATTTTATGTTCTGTCATGATGAACCGTTCTGCCAGATATGAAGTACATAGATTCTATTACTTTTAGTTGCGACTTAGACTGAACATTATTTCTTAATAGAGTCTATATCATTATATTGCCAATTGTATTATGCGAAATATTGAGAAATAAAAGAGGTTCTAGGATATCATTAAGAAGTAAACAAAATAATAAGAACCAATTATTATCATTAACAATATTTTTGCACTTTAAAGGTAAACAAAAATCTGAATCCAAATATATATTTTCTTGTTATTGTTAAACTTAAGCTTACGGAAAAACGAAAGAACATAAAGGCTGGAACTTTGGGCTACAATTTTAAGTATAAATTTAAGTCTATTAATAAATATCAGCTGAGAAGAAGTATTACTTATTAATATTAATATATTTCATATATTTTGAAATATTTTTTAATAAAGATTACAAATAATTTCGTCAACATTTTCAAACCTCCCTAGCCCACTGTACATCGTTATCTTTTTGGAAACGTAACTTTTTATATTAGGAGAGGCCAGGAGCTTTATCTTCCAGTCCCAAAGCTTCGGCAGAGCACCGAGGGCAACGAGAGATTGCAATAGCTTTTCTTCAGCGAAGCGGCTACTGGGAGCTTTTACTCAACTTACTCAATAGCATTGAAAGTGCGCTGCCCCTGCCGCTGTTGTTGTCTCTTCCCCCCTTCGCATTGTTCGCCACATCTGCTCGCGTTTCATTGATGCCCAAATATAGGTCAACAATGTGTTCGAGAATGGGCTGGGTTGGAGTCGTGAAGGAGGGCGAGTGGGTGGTTGTACATCGCCAACTGAATTATCAGTGTCAGCGAGCGAGTGCAGCGGTGGAATCGATGCTGCTATCTGAGGAACACGGCAAACATTGTAAATTGCTCGCCTGACGATGATTGCTGGGGCTCACCTCGCAGCCAGCACATCGCAACTCAGAACAAATTGCCCGACATTGCGCATACGCCGCGTTATCGGCGTGGAATTTATGACGACATACTTCGGCTTCTTCTGTCCATGTCCTTTGGCCAGCCGCCGACGCCGCCGACTTTAATTGAATTTTTATTCGCTGCCAGCAGTCCACAAACGTCAGAGGAAAGTGAAAAGTCTTTGCTGTCATCTTTGGACTTTTTTTTTAATTTCTCTATGCAGTGGAAAGTATGGCAGTAGTCAAGGAAGTTAATGAAAAAAAGCATTAAAATGAGGATTTTCTGTGTTAGAATATTTCATTCTATGAATGTCTACACTTCCTTCTTAGTTCTTTAGTTACTTAAGATATAAAGTCAAGTTAAGCTTGAAAAATAAAAAGGAATTTCTCTTTTTTTCACTTAAATTTTATTTTTTAGTTATTTAACTAATAATTATTACAATAACAAGTTATCGTTGCATAAAAAAAAAGAATAAGAGCAGCTAGAACTGAAAATATTTCTCAGTGCTTGCGCCACCTTGGGCTGTTCTTTGCTTGTGTCCGTCGCCGGACTAGTGACGTCCGAAATTGGGTCAAAAGCTGAGTTCGCTCAGCTGGCTAAGCTGCCCCGGCATGTTGCTCCTGCTAAGCACACTCGCAGGATAATCCTAATTGCGCTTTTAACGCGCGACTTTCGCCCATTCCGCGGAGCTTTTCAAATGGGTTCGTTGCATTCCGCCAAGGCCTCTCTATCGCCACAGAAAGGGAGCAAAGCCAAGGGGGATTAATGCTTGCAGCTGGCGGGATTGGCAGCCACATCCTTCTTGGCTCAGTAAAGTCACACCCCCAGTCATGCGGCAGAAACTCGCGTCTTCCGATGTGGTTTTCTCTTCGTTTTTACCGGCACGTGCCATTCGACGTCCCCCTGGGAGCCTGCAATTTATTACAGCCACTTGAAGCTGCTCCCTCGCTTATCGTCGTACAATTTGCTAAGGCCAAAATAATCTACTGACAACGATGACGTTGCGGGCAACTGAAAAGCCAAGAGGAGGGCCACAACCAAATTGAGTATGAACGGGGAAAAGGTGAAGCGAAGTCAATGCGATAATCTGGTAGTAGAAGACCTTAAGAGACTTTTAAGACTTCATTGTTGGGTTTCTTATTATAGCCTGGTAGTTTGGTTTATTTATCAATTACTTGCCATTCTTATATTTTAAGCCTATGGAAATGCAAATAGAATAAGCAAACAAAAGTGTGTTTAACTTCTCTTCTTCATATTTACTTATTTTATTACTCTATCGATAAAAAGAAAAAAATGTTTGTCATTGTATGATATTACTTAGAGCGCATTTATGTACTTAATTAAGCCCACAAATGTAATCCTCTGTTTTGCTATCTAATTCAAGATAGTTCAGTTTTCTGCAAAGCATGCAAACGGCCTACGTGTGGTATGAGCAATGTGGACTCCCCTTTTCCGAGTAACGTCCAAGCTAATGCCTTGGCAAATATTCTAAAACCAATTGATTGGACTTAAACTTATTATTTGCAAAGGACAAAAAGCAGTTTTGTTTGTTTATTTGCTACCTTTTTTATCTGAAAATAAACAAACCCATTCAATTATGATTAGGAAACTTAACAAATTACCGCAGCGGATGACAAGCGCTGTCGCTTCGGCTGATAGCTAAACCTCCCAGCAAATGACGAATAGTCAACAAATAGTTAAGCATTGGACTTTGTAATCTTTATTGAAATCGAAAACATTGCGGGGGGTAAAGGGTTCAAATAACAAAGAAGTTTTTGTATTTATTGCTTAGGGAACCCATTCGATCTCATAGGGGATCTGCGTCGGAAACTGCGTCGTTAACTTGTAATTATGAGTCAAAAAGTTGAGAATATGAAATGGCTCGAAAAATCTGATAGGCAGTTATGAAATTTGTGGAGTTAAAATTGGAAGAAAAACATAACTCTCACTGCGAATTCGAATTTAAAAAATGCCATTTACGTAATTATTTTTCCTAAATACGCAAATAATTGAATCATATGCAGTAAGTTTTGAGTTCGAAGAATGCAAAATGAGTCACCTTAAACATAAATAATATATTTATTTTCAAATTAATAAATACTTTAATGCTGATTTGCAGGTTTAGAAACCCAGAAAACCATGACTCTTTCTCTGAGTTCAAAAGTTGAATGTTAAGAACGCTCTTTGTAGCTTCAAAGAATGCCATTAAACTGCAGTAAAATCAGAACAATAATCATTAGTGATATATATCAATGGAACTAGGTACTTCCCTCAATTTGCAATCGAATGATTCTACGCCTAGTACTTGAGATTGCATTATACTGGCATTAGCTTACGTTATCCATGCCCAGCAGATATGACCAATCATCAATCACATCATGACTCATGGGCAGGGTCAGTTACGGCTGTACTCGTACATAAGCCAATGTGCAGTTCATCGCAAGATAAGCGGCGATTTGTGAGATACCCATCGATACATTATACGGCTAATCATGACGTATGCAAAATGCAAGGGGTACGCAGACGGCTGTCGAATTTCCTTTTTTTCCGCTGAGAGCGCCGCCATATGGAGTCAGGGCCGATAAGGGCTGCCAAAAAGCATTCAATATTCACTATCGGGGCGAGATAACAGTTGGCGAAACTCATTGCGCCAGCCAAAACGTTCGAGGGCCCCATGGAGCAGAGCTCAGACGTTTGTGAGACTCCGAACCGAACAGAACTACAGAAAACTTCGATTAAAAACGGCTGTGGCAACAGAACCGAAATCTTTGGGCAAATATTTGCCAATTAAGAACCGTAGACGGTGCGCGTGTGTCTGTGAAGTGGGAGTGAAGTGAAATTGGCCAGGCCAAAACTGAAAACTGAAATAAAACCAGCCATGTCCGAATTTGTGCGGCAACATGTAAGTGCAAATGGTAGAAAAAGAAGAAAAAAAAAAACGAAATCGAATGAGACTTCCTGGTTGTCGTGGCAGTTTTCCTCAGCCAGTCGCTGTGGTTATCAGAAAATTACTATGATAACCGAATCGCTTTTATCACATTCCTTTTGGCAGTGCTCTGCCTTTTACCCATCATGGGGCTCATTTTAATTTTAAACTTGCCACTCTCTTATCACCTACACTGGCCTACACGTGTGCTAATTGGAATGTAGTAATACCTGTGATTATGGGCATAAAGTATTTACGAGCTGGTAGCCTAACATAAGATTGTGTCCGTCACGAGCTCAGCTAGCTGTCTCAAGCTGTTTTCGTTCGCAGAAAACAACCAAAAATAGCACTTTATAAATTCCGGATACTCTTCCTCTCCGTGCGAATGGCTTATCAAATGCCAAGCCAATTATCGATTAAGTTTGTCCAGTCCAGCACAGGAACTGAGATACCAAAAAGCGCGCTATAAAAGGCTTTGGCGTATAGTAAATCTAGAAAATGGAATCCATTGTCCTCAATTGAATTCCCCTTATCAGTCTGCTTTTGTTTGTGTGTTCTAATTCTGCCAAGAATTAGTATTAAACACCCATTAGCTATCTAATGGTGAAAATATTTCTGATTAGTGACAAATATGAGTCATAGTTTATGGAGGTGATCTCATGGTCGGACACTTCGATTAGTGAAATGAAAAATATAATTGGACGGCTTCATTGCAGGTGATCATGTCGTATTTGGGGAAAAAGTTAATGGGTGACATCAACTGAAAAGCGAGAAATTGGTTTTTAATCTTATCTCCAAAAGATAAGCAAGGTCGTTTTAGATTGAAACGCCAAAATCTTATTCTTGAGCCCATTGATGGGTTTTGTATTTTGTTTAAAGTTCTCCTTTGACCTTTTCTATTATTTTTTGCCATTAGCACCTGTTCGGCGGCCGTTCATGTAGTGTTCTTCTGCTCAAAGAGCTTTGATTTCCAAATACCGATAAGACCTTTTTGTATATCGGCATTTTGGTGATAAGATAATGCCTGGCAACAATTATTTGCAAAAGTTGGCTACCGTTTGTTTTCATTACCCACATTTAATTCGCCCATTTCTGAATACCATTTATTTAGACAAAGAGAGCGGTACTGCTGGCAATAAAGTAATATTTGAACTTCTATTTACGATATTCGTTTGGGTGTGGCAGGGCCATAAAAACTTTTAGATTTCATGGGATATTTAGGGGGTCCCATGGGTGAATTATTTTACAATGATATCGTTTTGATTTCTTATCGGGTTTTCGGGAATCGATTGTTATAGGGGTCCCAGATTAAAGCCAAAGGAAATGAGTTACCTTTTGGTTTCCAAATTTCTTTCACTTAAAGGAAAATTTAAAGTCTTAAAATTCGAAGTTCATTGATCTCGGAGTCTATGTTTGTGGCCAGATAAGCTTTGTCAGGCCTTAAGGCCTGTTCTTTTTATGTACTCCGAAATTTATAAACTCACTTTTTAAACGACTTGCTGCACTTCTGTGTAATCAGCTCGTATCAGTGCTTACATTTGAGATATGACCCACTGCCAGGTGCCAATGAAAAAGTTGCTGAAGGTCACTTATGTGGTTTGGAGTATTGATTTCGTAGATAATCCCATTGATGCATTGCCTCTAATCTCTGGTTGTTTGTTTTCCACTGATACAGGGCGAGTATGTGTGGGTGAAGCCGCAAAATACTAACAGCGAATTCGCCGTGCCATTTGGGGCACGAATTGTGCGAACGGAGAAAACGCAGACCCTGGTTTCCGATGACCGGAACAAGCAGTTCTGGGTGCCAGCTGGGGATGTCCTGAAAGGCCATGCACATCACCTCCCAGGAGGAAGTGGATGATATGATCACACTGGGTGACTTACAGGAGTACACCATACTAAGGAATCTGCAGAATCGCTATGCCAAGCAGTTAATATATGTAAGTCTAATACTAGTTAGTTGATTTATTAACTAAAGTTTTTTGTTTTAAATTTTTAGACCTATACAGGCTCTATGTTGGTGGCCATCAATCCCTATCAGATTCTGCCCATCTACACGAATCGCGAGATTCAACTTTACAGGAATAAATCCCTGACTGACCTGCCTCCACACATCTTTGCCATTAGCGACAATGCCTTTCAGAGACTGCAAAGACTCAAGGAGAACCAGTGTGTGGTCATCAGTGGGGAATCGGGTGCCGGGAAAACGGAGAGCACCAAGTTGATACTGCAGTACCTGGCGGCCATCAGTGGCAAGCACTCCTGGATCGAGCAGCAAATCATCGAGGCTAATCCCATTATGGAGGCCTTCGGCAATGCCAAGACTGTGCGGAATGACAACTCTTCGAGATTCGGAAAGTACATCGAGATCAGATTCACACCCGAGGGTGCCATTCAGGGTGCAAGGATTCAGCAGTATCTTCTGGAGAAATCCCGAATTGTTTTCCAAAGTCGAGATGAACGCAATTATCACATTTTCTACTGCATGCTAGCCGGGCTTTCAGCTCCGGAAAGGGAGCGTCTAAAGCTGCAGGAGCAGTCACCCAGTCAGTACCATTACTTGGCCCAAGGAGGCTGTTTCACGTTGCCGGGAAAAGGTGATGCCAAGGACTTTGCCGATATCCGAGCAGCCATGAAGGTTCTTTCCTTTAAGCCTGAGGAAGTGTGGAGCATTCTCAGTTTACTGGCGGCCATTCTGCATTTGGGTAACCTTAGGTTCACGGCCACCGAGGTGGCCAACTTGGAAGCAGCTGAGATTGACGACACTCCAAATCTCCAGAGAGTGGCTCAGCTACTGGGAGTTCCCGTCTCTGCCTTGAATGCGGCTCTCACTCAAAGAACGATATTTGTGCATGGTGAGCATGTGACCACCAGTCTGTCCAAGGAAGCAGCCATTGAAGGAAGAGATGCCTTCGTAAAGTCCCTGTACGATGGGATTTTCGTGCGCATCGTTCGCAGAATCAATGAGACTATAAACAAACAGGTCGATCAGCCCATGAATAGCATAGGAGTTCTGGACATTTTCGGTTTCGAGAACTTTGACAATAACAGCTTCGAGCAGCTTTGCATCAACTATGCCAATGAGAATCTTCAGCAGTTTTTCGTGGGACACATCTTTAAGGTAAGAAGACCTAACAAACCCTTCTCTACAGTCACTCACCCAGTATATTCCACAGATGGAGCAGGATGAGTACCAGAACGAACACATCAACTGGCAGCACATAGAGTTCCAGGACAATCAGCAAATCCTGGATCTGATTGGTATGAAACCCATGAACTTGATGTCTCTGATCGATGAGGAGTCCAAGTTTCCCAAGGGCACTGATCAAACTCTGCTCGAAAAGCTTCATGTTCAGCATGGTAATCGATCGATTTATGTAAAAGGGAAAACCACCCAAACTTCTCTCTTTGGAATCCGTCACTATGCCGGCGTGGTTATGTACAATCCCTTGGGTTTCCTCGAAAAGAATCGCGATTCTTTCAGTGGCGATCTAAGGTCTTTGGTTCAACGATCTGCGAATAAGTATCTGGTGGATATATTCCCTCATGAAATGCCCATGGACACGGCTAAGAAACAGCCCACGTTGTGCGTGAAATTCCGGAACTCCCTGGACATGCTGATGCGCACCTTGTCGCAGGCTCACCCCTACTTCATTCGATGCATTAAGCCAAACGAGTTCAAGGAGCCAAAGGTGAGTGTAAAGTACCCTTAAAAGTGCTAAAGATTTCATTTTATTAGCTAAGTCCCTGGCCCTTAATCGATCTATTCAAAATCCAATTTAATTTATTTAACTTTTCCCCCAGAACTTTGACAAGGAACTGTGTGTGCGACAGCTGCGCTACTCGGGAATGATGGAAACTGCCCGCATTCGAAGGGCGGGTTACCCAATCCGTCACGCCTACCGTGCCTTCGTCGAGCGTTACCGCCTCCTGGTGCCACCCGTAGGACCTCTGGAGAAATGTGACTGCCGAAGGGTGGCACGAGAGATCTGTGAGGTGGCTCTACCCGCTGATTCCGATCGCCAGTACGGAAAGACAAAGCTTTTCCTGCGGGACGAGGATGATGCCAGTCTAGAACTCCAGCGTTCCCAACTAATGCTCAAGAGCATTGTGACCATTCAGCGAGGTATCAGAAGGGTTTTGTTCCGACGCTACCTGAAGAGATACCGCGAGGCCATCATTACGGTTCAGAGATATTGGCGGGGTCGCCTGCAGCGTCGTAAGTACCAGATAATGCGGCAGGGATTCCATCGTTTGGGAGCCTGCATAGCTGCTCAGCAGCTGACCACCAAGTTCACGATGGTCAGATGTCGAATCATAAAGCTCCAGGCCCTGAGTCGGGGCTATCTGGTACGCAAGGACTTCCAGGCGAAGTTGCTTGAGAAACGAAAGCAGCAGCAGCTAAAGAAGGAGGAGTTGCTTAAGTTGGCCAAGATAAAGGAAGCTGAGGAGCTGCTTAGATTAAAGCAACTGAAGGAGCAGAAGGAGAAAGAGCAGAGGGAACTGGAGGAGAAACGTTTGAAGGAGGAGCAGAGGCTCAAGGCCGAGGCAGCTGCCCGCAATGCCTTGGCCATGGCTGCAGTGCAGCAGCCCACGAGAAAGAAGTCCTTTAAGCAAGAGGCGCCCAAAGCTCCAACCCTCCAGGCCCGTATGTCCCTGCCACCACCACCCACAACCCTGATTGCAGCAGCCCCAATGGCAACTCGACCCGCCAGTGCCGTCACCAGAATTAACACCATACCCGAGAGTCCGGGAACCATTGATGTGGAGACCTCCAAACAGATGGTAGACGACGTCTTCCGGTTCCTTAATGACGAGCCCGATGTGAGTGGTCCCCTGGGGCCGAATGTCAAAGAGAAGTCTATGATGTTCGAGCAGGTGCTGCGCCTGCGCAAAGATGTGCCCACGAAACTCCTGTCCCGCCCGGTCAACTACTATGAGGCGGCGCCACGGAAGATTGTCAACCAGACCCGCCTCTAGTAGCAGACCAGGCTGGGACTGGAGCAGCCCTGAACAAACTAGACACTGGTAGCTATGGCTGATATTAGAAGGGATGGGGCTGGAGAGGAAATTTACTAGATTTTAGTCCTGATCAGTAGGATTGGTTCTTTAAGGGGATGGGGAATGGTCCTAACTAGATTCTAAGCCGCTTTGACTACTCTACCAAATTGTAAATAAATATTTTTTTTATATTTTCAAACTTCGATCGTAAAAATGAGAAACTTTTCTTGAAAGCTTTCTTGCATTTTTGTAACTAACAAGAAGGTATATTGGCTTTTGGATAATTGGATATAAAATAATATCTCATTGAGGTTCTATATCTGAATAATATAGTAATCATAGTGAACTTACACTCCCTGTAACCAACCTACTGATCAGAGCATTTTCCAAGGTTTATCTTTCAGTCCAAGGACTCACATCGTCTTGGGCGCCAAATCTGGGCTTTATTTTTTGGAACCCCTTAGGGCTCCTTTTAATGTACAAAACTAACTCATAAGTCCAGCTAATGTCAGCTTGTATATAAACAAACATATATCTTTGCTTGTGATCGCTTTTTGTTACATCTTCCTTACTCCTAAATGTATCATATTTATTAAGCTCTGTAAATAAAACTCTCAAAGGCAACTTTAGATATAAATGCGCAATTCCTTTGTGTGTGTTTAATCGTCAGCGTTTTGGTTATGGTTATCTATGGTAATGGGACGCCCTTCTTGAACGCCCCCAATCCAGCTTTTGTGCTTTGTGTCCACCGTCCAGTGAGCGTCCCACATCACATCCGTACTTTTGGGATTGCATTTCACCATTATAAGCCAAAAAGCCATGAATAAGCATGAGTCATCTGAGATCATCAGTATTATTATTGAAATTCGGACCATGGACATGGGTTGTCAAAGTGGCTTACAAGGGCTTTCAGGCGTTATCTTGTAGAAAATTAATTTATTTCATTCGATAGATACGACACCAAAGTCATTTGACTGTTTTTGTATTAACTGATACTTATCTCATTATTTCTAAAAATCCTAGAAACTTCCGCAGTCTTTTAAGAACTCAAATTAGGTTTTACCATTCTTTGACATTTATTTAGTTTATTCACAGGGAAGTCTTTATTTTATATTACTTACTTTGACTTAAGCATTTAAAATTCTTCTTGGCTCTTACAGGCTCCTCAGGCTATGGCTTTTTCAAGAGGACCACTTAGGTTTTATTTTCATATTGAGCAGTTTAATGAGACCAATAAATGAGATTATCAGGAAGCTTATTTATGAGCCAATTTCCTTACTTTTTTCAGGGAATATTTCCTTCTATAATTAGTGCTTGACTCTAAAGATACTTGTATAAAGATACCTTCAAGTTTTTACTCTTACAAACTTTGTATTTTAAGATACAATGATACTTCACCTTTTGGAAAACCATATCCCTTAGGCTCCTTATCCTTCTTCAGACCATTAAGGGTTCGTCCGCAAACACACAAATAAAACAAACCGCTGACCGCCACCAAAAATAAATTCAATTTTATTAATCCAACTTCAAAGAAGTCCCCTAGTCCAATGGGCTAGCCGTTTCCTAGAACGCAGATCCATGTCGTGTGGTCTTTAGTCAGCAACTAAATGGAGGCAAAACAAATTTCCGCGGCGAGACCTGAGCTATTTTTCGAAGCGTGGCCAAAACCAATCGCTATCAGGTGGCGGCAGAAGTTTAAAACAAATACCAAATGATAAATGAAATAAAACGGGATCGTAAATAATCGCCGCCGTCCTTATCGCTGGGGCATATCTTCGGGTGCAGTTTCGTTCCCCTTACCCACGAGCTATATATTTATAAAAGCTTACGAGTAAAGCACCTCTCGATAAGTGGCACTCAGATTACAGGTGTCGAAATAATTAATACGGCTGAATTATAAACTGAGTGCTAGAACACCAGTATAAGAGTATCAAACTAGGGAGAGTGATTCCTAAAGGGGCTTCGAAGTTTGTTTACCCTGTGACTTACCTCTATTTCCCTTTCAGGCTGCCCTGAGAAGACTCCATAACATTTCTTCTGGTGATACAATACGCCTTCCGAAAGTCAGTGCCAAATAATATCGACACCTCGGACTTTAGTTACTTGAAGTATGCGGCAACCTACTTCTGCGGTGGCGCCACAGCTCAGCACGAAAGGAAACCCCTGAAGAAGTCCCTACTTAAGCATGAGCTGCCTGTGGATGAGATGGCCTCTAAGGTAAGGGTATCAGGAATAGGTATCAAGAAATCTCCATACAATATCTTATTTTTAGGCCATTTGGCTGACTATCTTGCGTTTCATGGGGGACATGATGGATATAGCTTCATCGCCTGCCTTTCACTCTTACGATAATGAAAACCTTATGAGTGATTTATCGAGCATTCTGAATACCTCCGGCTCCTATAAGCCACGTTTATTCACTACGTCAAGCCCAAAGACGCCCCTTAAAGCTGGGTCTGGGCAAAGGTCAAAAAGATGTGGAGGAGTTCTACCAACACTTTCTCAATGCCCCCAGTAGTCACTTAGACAAACTCCACTTCATCGTAGGTCACGGCATACTCAAGGAGAGCTTAAGGTAGGAGACTCTTACAGGCAATTCTTCTAGCATGTCAAACATAATATTATAATCTTTTTTACAGAGATGAAATTCTGGCCCAGATCTGCAAGCAACTCTATCTGAACCCAAGTCGCACCTCCTTATTCCCGTGGATGGTTGCTCCTATCACTGTGCCTGAGCTGCTTTCCACCCAGCAGCAACTTCGAGCCACATCTGCGAAGTTTCATGAAGCAGGGAACTGCCCAACTGCAGGCCACTCCTTGCCTGCAGCGCTTGGAAAGAACTCTGATGAACGGACCCCGCTGTCAGCCACCATCTCTATTCGAACTCCAAGCTATCCGAGGTCGCCAGCCCCTTAAGTTGGATATTCACCTTATGGATGGTCAGCAGAGAAGATTGCAGGTGGATGCGGCCAGTACAGCTCGAGAGGCTGTAAATCAACTATGTCAGGGCTTGGGACTAACCGATACCTTCGGCTTTGGTTTGGTAATGTCGCTGAATGGAAAACTTATGCCATTGGGCGCTGGTCAGGAGCATGTTCTAGATGCTGTGTCAGAGTGTGAGCAACGTCAGCTGGATGCCCCTTGGAAACTATACCTCAGGAAGGAAATGTTTGCCACCTGGTATGATCCATCGGTGGACTCCAAGGCCACTCAGCTAATCTACAAGCAGATCCTGAACGGCTTGAAGTGCGGAGAGTACCGGTGTCGCTCTGAGAAAGACATAGCCATGGTTTGCGCCTTGGCCTGCTTCATAGAACATGGACCTGGGGCCATCCAGAGATTGAAACCCTCTGAGATTACGGCTTTCGTTCCAAGCGATCTTCTGGCTCCCGGTGATCGAGCCGTTGAGAACTGGAGTCGCCTTATAGCTGCCACCTATGAAAAGAGTTCGTACATAAGGGAAGAACAAAAGGATCTTCTGGTGGAAGCTCAGACGAGTGCCAAGGAGGATATCTGCCTATTTGCCCATCTGTCATGGCCCATGAGACACTCTCGACTGTTTGAAGTGGTTCGCAAGGCTGGACCTAAGCTCCAGAGCGATGAACTGATGCTGGGCATCAATTCCACTGGCCTTTTCCTTATAGACGAAACTGAACAAGTGCTGGCCTCCTGTAGTTTCGGTGAGCTGCTAAAAGTCCATTTAGAAGGCAATGATGACCTGCATGTCATGACCTATCAACACGTTAACTTTGTGCTGCAGTGCAGCACGGCTCAGGATGCCAATGAGGTTATCAACTATATGCTGGACAATCTCCGACAGCGCTCGAGCTATGGAGTCGCTCTTGATCATGTCGAGGAGGCCGATCAGGAAGATTTTCTAGTTCTTAGCCCAGGTGACCTCGTTGAGTTTGAGGCAGGTGTAACGGGTGCCCAGTTATTAAGCGGTAATGCCCAAGACTGCTACAGGGGCTGTGTCAATGGCCGTTCGGGTCAGTTTGCTGCCGGAAATGTTCGCATTTTGGCCACACTTACCAAGCCCAGCGAAAAGCTTCAGGATATCTTAAGAGAGGGCAGATTTGATGAGCCACCGAAACCAAAGCCAAGAGCCAATCATTCTCGACGCCGTCAACACAATATCTCTCAGCTGGCTGAGACTCACTTCAGGGCGCCATTGGAGTAAGTTAAACCCCTTTTTTAAAAAGATTTCAATCTGATTAAATGTTTTCTTTTAGCTCTGATATGGTTCCCCTTTCACAATTTTCTCCTGAGCCATTGAAGGCGCCTCTTCTTAAAGCTGTGGTCAAGGTTCCGCCACTCTTCCAACAAGCTTTGGTTATTCATCATCACATTCTGAAGGTAAGACTTAAGGTGATACAAAGTGGTTAATACAGTGAAATATTCTACTCTCTACAGTACATGGGCAACATTGCAAGAAGCAATTTGCCTGTCAACACGGACCTCATCTTCCAGCCCGCCCTGCAGCATCCGCTCCTGTGCGACGAGTTGTACTGCCAGCTGATGAAGCAGCTGAGCGATAATCCCTCTAGTGAAAGTGAGAAGCGGGGCTGGGACCTGCTGTACTTGGCTACGGGCTTGGTGGCTCCCAGTGTCCTGATTATGAGGGAACTGATCATCCTGCTGCGCATGCGTGCTGATGCCCTAGCTGATGCCTGCCTTAAGCGAATGAAGCGATCCCTGGCCCAGGGACAACGGAAACAAGCGCCACACCTCATCGAGGTGGAGGGCATTCAGCAGCGCTGCCTGCACATATATCACAAGATATATTTTCCCGATGATACAGTTGAAGCTTTCGAGATTGAGTCACATACACGGGGAGCAGAGCTTATAGCCGATATAGCCCAGAGATTGGAACTCAAGTCGCCGGTGGGCTATAGTATTTTCTTGAAGACAGGCGACCGAGTCTATGCCATGCCGGAAGAGGACTTTGTGTTTGATTTTATCACCCAACTTATCTTCTGGTTAAAACAGCAGAAGACCCTACGCTCCATATCCGATGGCCACTATCAGCTGCACTTTATGAGGAAGCTATGGCTGAACAACCATCCTGGTGAGGATCCCAATGGAGACGTAATCTTTAGCTACCCCCAAGAGCTTCACAAATACTTGAAGGGCTACTATCCTATCGATTGCGAGCAGGCCTCGCATCTAGCTGTTCTGGTGTACAGTGCGGATCATGAAGTTAGCTTGCAGAGACTACCGGAAGTTCTGCCACGTTTAATACCAGAGGACCTAATACCACTTCAAACGGTGGCTGAGTGGAGACAGCAAATCCTATCGAAACTTCACCGCGACCATTTGACCGAGGATCATGCCAAGCTCTTGTTCCTCCAGGAACTTTCCCATTTCTCCTGCTTCGGTTCCACTTTCTTTGTGGTGAAGCAACAAAACGAAGAGGCCCTCCCGGAAACGCTCTTGGTCGCGATCAATAGCTCTGGATTCCATCTTTGGATCCACAAACCAAGGAGATCCTTCGCAGCTACGAATACAACCAGTTGGGCATCTGGAGCTCGGGTAAAAACCACTTCCACATCCGTTTCGGGAACATGATTGGAGCTTCGAAGCTGCTGTGCAGCACCACCCAAGGTTACAAAATGGACGACTTGCTGGCCTCTTATGTGAGGTATTTTAATGAGCATCAGTAATCGAGTTACTCGCAACAAATAAAAAGTGTTCTTACAAGTAACCCAGCTCCTTGGTCGTTTTAACCAAAGCCAGCATTCCAACCATCAACTCCTCGCAATTGGGAATGATTTGGACGGGTGGCAGGATAAATCCATAGCGTCCCTTGTCACGATACTCGATGGTGTAGCCAATTTTCTTACCCAGCTCATTGAAAACCCAGTCCACAGAGGTTCCAGTGGCCACATCTGAAGGAAGAGGCATAATAATTTCTTGGTCAAATTCCCATAAGGAATAGTTAGTGTTCTTACAAAGCACATCAGCTGTGGATCCATATTCGTAGACAGTGCCATAGGGCAGGGCTTCGATGGCATCGGCGAAAGCCTTGCCGATAGTCAAGATATCATCGTAGTTTTCTGGGAACTCCTCTTTGGTATGACCATAGGGCGAAAGCAGGTATTGTCCATATGAGTGGAAGGATATATACACACTAATACTGTCCGTGATGTTCGTTAGGAACTCGACCAATGCCTTGGCTTCTGGCTCAGATCCAGGCGTATCCCCAGCAAAAGGTCTCACTGCAGGGATTCGAAGATGCTCCATTGTTCTCCAGCCAATGGGAGTCAAAGTTGCGGTTGGCATCAGCTCCGATGCAGGCATTTGTGGCATGTGGCTGACGAGTCTTGCGCCACATACGATCCTGGGGATTAAAGATTTAGCTTTTATAGTATATAATATCTCAGGCAGAAGATAATTTCTACCAACCTTTTTATGTGAGTACTCAAAGCCATCAACATTGAAGACAGGTATGATGTACCAATCGTAGCTCTCGGCTAGATCGCGCACCTCAGCATCTTCTGAGGTCAAAAGCTGGTTGATGAACCATGTGGCACTGGCCGAAGTGATCCACTCCCTGGCATGGATGTTGGACTCGATGAAAATACCAGGGTTACCAGTCTTGTGAGAGATCTTGATGCCACGAATAGTTCGTCCTTCGTAGGATGTACCCACAATAAACTCCTCGGTCACTGTGGGGTATGCCTTAAGAACTTCGTCCAACCAAGCCTCAATCTCTTCCAGCTCATAGTACTTCGTCCAGCCAAAGGTGCTGTCCGCAGTAGCCGTGACTTGCTCTTCGTCGATACGCCTAAATGGGGATCCGATCAATATCTTTATGATCCCAAATGAGCACGCATTAATGGTTAGCTAATCGAGAGATCTTATCGGTTCGAGTGGCTTTAACCCTTATGTGTGTTCTGAATTCTTGAACTTACTCTTGGACATTTTCGATCATCAGCTCACTGCTGATATTGTTGATTTTGAGAAGCTCCTGGAAATGACCAAGCTCCCCAGGACTAACCATAATATCCACCTGCTTGGAACGTTCATCGTACTCCTTCCAGATATTGTACTAAACACCAAGAAGAGAAGTCACTTAAAGGTTCTTAATAAGAATATTTCTGGCAGTAACAAACTCACCTTCTTCGTTAGCTCGCCAATTTTCTCGATCACAGCCAACTGGACTTTGTTCTGAATGGTTAGCTTATACACCCTGAAGTTATCATAACGTTCTTTAGGGGAGTCCTTAAGGATCCCAGCACTTGTCAGAGCCACAAGCGTGGCAAGCAACCAAAGCAGACGCATTTTGAACATCGACTAAATGTCCATTAATTGGCTTAATCCCAAAGAAACTCAACCCAGCGATTATCTGAAGCTAATCTTTATTGATTTATTGCACATTGAATTTCCCAGCACTTACTTTGTGCTCTTGAGCTCAAGATAGCCCAACTCTTTACACTTATCTAGAAGGGCCGCAATACCAACCAATGCCTCCTCCGCATTGGGAACTATGTGAGCCGGTGGTAGGATAAACCCATATCGACCAGTGTCCCTGAATTCAATGGTGTAGGATATCTCCACTCCTTGCTCATTGTAGGCCCAATCGTTGGTGGCCCCGGAAGCGGGATCTAAATAGGTTTTAATGTCACTTCTTGCTAACTTAATCAAAGTTCTAATAACTTACAGAGAATTCCCGCAGCTGATCCGTATCTGTAGACTGTGCCATATGGCAGACTCTCAACTGCATCTCCATAAGCTTGGGCAACGGCCATTAAGTCATCGTAATTGGGTGGAAACTCTTCTTTCGTATGACCATAGGGGGAGAGCAATAGCTGACTGTACGAGTGGAAGGCCAGCATCACATTGATGTTGTCCTTAACTCCACTCACGTAATCGGACATGGCCTGAATCTCTGGTTCAGAAAAGGGCTTGGGGCCGCCGTAATCCTCAGCGCAGGGATTCGAGGAAGCGCCATCGTTCTCCATCCAATGCGAGTCGTAATTGCGGTTGGGGTCTACACCAACGCAACTGGAAATGTCCGAGGGCTGACGCGTCTTTCGCCACATGCGATCCTATAAAATACCAAAAATTTTTAAGGGAGTTCAAAAATATAGAACGTTAGTATTACCTTCTCGTGAGTATAAACAAAACCATCCACATTGAGCACAGGCACTATGTACCAATCGTGGTTCTCGGCGAGATCCCTCACTAGCTCATCCGAGGAGGTAAGGAACTCGTTTATCAACCAAGTGGCTGTAGCGGAGGTAATCCACTCCCTAGCATGTATATTGGACTCAATGAACACCCCGGGGTTGTTCGATTTGTAGGAGATCTTAATGCCACGGATGGTGCGACCCTCGTACGATTGACCCAAGACAAATCTCTCGGTAACAGTTGGATAAGAAGCTAGTATCTCGTCTAGCCAGGCGTAAATTTCGTCCAGGGTATTGTACTTGGTCCAACCAAAAGAGCCATCTCGACTGGCCTTCAGATTGGCATCTTCTTCGAAATCGATGAGTCTGAAGAAATATTCATTAGATTTCCATCACATCAACCGATATTTGGACTTTACTCACTCCTGCACATTGCTTATGAACAGCTTTGCACTGACATTGTTCTTCTGGATTTCCGTCTCAAGTTCGGCGAAGGCACCTGGACTTATCATCATGTGCAGTTCATCCCTGGCTTCATGCCAAAGTCTAAACTGAAGAAAATGCTTAACTTATTTTCTCTAAAACAATTCTCACTTACATTATCCCGATTCTCAGCAAGTTTTTTCAGGATACTTCTCTGCTCTTGAGTCTCAAACTTGAGCTTATAAACAGAGTAATTATCATAGCGCAGCTTTTCGTCCTTGCCAAAACTGGCTCCTTGGACAAAGAGTACCAATGCCAAAGCTATAAGAAAACTATATAGTGACATGCTTAATGCTGAGAATGCGGCAAGCGACTACTTATTTAGCACAATTAAAACCCAGACGATTGCTATATCGATCGGGTCATAAGTGGATTGTAAAGATAGTCACACAGAAGCTTACTATTACCGATCGATATAACCCTGTCGTGTGCCTTATCAATTGGGAAAAACTTAATTGCAATGAACGTAGTATTTTAACCCATTCTGAATTGGTTTTTATACAATTTCTCTAAGGCAAACTCAACTGCATTATCTTGTCTTATTTTCGGTTTCAATTACAACAAAGATTTATCCGTAAATGACCTATGTAAGTTATAATATAAGTTTATATTTTGTAAAAACTGTATACCTTTTGAGCCTAATTCTTTAATAATTAACTTTAAAATCAGAAATACCTAAAACAATGCTGCCTATTTAGATAATACGTTCTAGTCCTACTTTTTAGTCCACTGAAGCTTTTATCATATATCAGTTGCTCTGTTAACCAGTAGAAACTGAAGTTTAATAACCTGCTTGTAGCTACAAGGTTTTATTATTATTTATATATTTTTTTTTTAATCACACAATTCTTAGCTAAATTGGCGGCGGCAAGAACCGCGTTACCAACCGACCGTTCTTTACTTAGCCTGGTTTAGTTTTCTCTGAACTCCGCTGTGTGGCGTCTTAGGCTGGTCCGCCACAAACACCGTCTGCTGGCGCCATCTGTTTTTGAAATCATATTACCACTGAAAGTTTATAAAAGGTGAAACAAAAACGCAAACCCTAAGGCAACAGTTTTACTTTTAAAATTGGACAATCTACATTTTCAAGATCTCATGGTAAAATAATTCTGATCTTGTTCAAGAATTTACATATTTTATAAGTTCGGAAAAGGAAAGATTTCGTATTACCATTTAAATATTTTACATCGAGTGCAAGGGTATGCTCTACAAATAAAGGGCATAATAAAAAAGTAATGATCAGCTTGCCCCTGCTTGTGCATAATGAAGCCACCTACCGAAAAGGTGCAATTAAAATTAATTCATAGAACCTATTTTAAATCGCACAAATGTGATTTTGTTTTGTACTTTCATTCTTCTCTTCAGTTCTACACATTCCAGCTGGTTAAATAGTCCGCTCAGAACTCGAGTATATAGTCTGTTTATATAGGTCATTGCGTTTAGTCAAAATGAGACCATTGATTGCTTTGTTGCTGTTGATAACTGCTGGGGTCTGTACCCTGTCAGATGCCACACCTCGTCCCTATGAGAACTATTCGGTGTACAGGGTTTATATTAAATCTCCCTCAGACCAACAGGTTATCGATGAACTCCTGGAGCAGACAGATGATGTGAGTTTTAATATCTTTTCATCTCACTAAGCAGTATCTTTACCTTATTATTCTAGTATAACCAATGGCGCCGTGGGTTGGAAGAATTCGATATCATGGTCAGCCCTAGGGCACAGGAAACTTTCCTAAATGTAATGCAAAGAAAAGGTATCTCTGTGAAAGTTATAATCAAAAATGTTCAAAGGTAAGTCAGTATATAGTTTCTAGTCCGTAATTTCTGATGGGTAACTCTTTTTCCAGACTTATAGATGAACAGGGACAGTGACGTTTTCAAGCTGTCGGACAAATATTTTTTAAAAAATTAACAAAATCGGTTAATAAATAATACACACTGCGCCTGAGCTTACCGTGTAATTATTTACTAAATAAATCTCTGATAAAGTAAGTCTCTTTGGAAAATTGTATGTCTAAAGGAATGTAAGTAAAATCTATCTATCCTCTCCGTAATTAACGTTGTAAAGTTTAATCTAATTAATCTAATCAAGAATTTAACACACTTATCGAACGTACATAGTTTAGATATTTTATTTTCTTTTTCACACAAATTACAAAGTTAAAGACTATTATTTCGATCGTTCGGCCATAAAACTTAGGCCTTCTTGCAGCCCTCTCCGCAATCGGAACCCTCGCAGATGTCGCAGAGGGAGGACTTCACCTGGTAGTACTCGGTGGCCTTGCGCTCCGTGTCATAGTAGTCGTAGAGGGAAACGGAGGCCGGCTTCTGCTTGGCCACCGCATGAGCCCTAGATGCTTCCACGGGCAAGCAACGAACATCTCTGGGGGTCAAGCTGTCGAAGTAAACGATCACCGTAGAGTCGGAGTTCTTGGTCTCTACCCGCTTCACCCGATCAACAGCCACGATTTTATCCAAGCTATCGCCGTCGCTAACAAATCCAGAAGGGCAGCGCGATCTCCATAACAGCCATGTTAGAGTCCTTGTCCTTGTCAGAATCTTCCAGGGGAACGTACTCTGCGCAAACGTCTAACACCAACAGCGGGTTGGGCGAGTCCTTAACCGTTGGAGTGACCTTGAAGCTAGGCTTCTTCTCCTTCTCAGCCAGGTTGTAGCGATAGGAGAGCTGAACCATTGCAGATCCGGTGCCCTTGGCTGTGAAGTTCACCTTGCGAGTGTCCTTGGGCAGAACGTGGGTCTGCAGGACTAGGGAGTTCTCGGGATTAACCTTGATGGTATCCTTGGATCCTCCTGCAGAAGCAAACTCAATATCCATGGTGCCAGAGCCGGAACCCGTCTTGTAGGCGAACTTCGTTAGGGCTTGCAGGCCAATCACCGTGTCCTGAGTTGAGGAGAATCCTCCGTTGCTGTTGCGCTGCGAGATCAGCCACTTTATGATGGGCAGGGCCTTCTCCGCCTGGTTCTTTTCAAGGAGAGCGAGCAGCACATAGGAAGTGATCTCCACATCGTTGCTCCGAGGCTTCCAGTGGAAGATTCGATCCCCATCACCAGTCGTCACAGGAGTCTTAGACCACCACCTACGATCGTTTTCATTTCGGGCCATGCTCTCCAACTTGGCCAGTACCTTTTCCGCCTGCGGTTGCTTGGCCAGTTGCAGGGCCACGGCAGCAATGGCCAAAGAATATTGATCGTCCGTCTTGTCAGTCTCCTCGGCAACATAGCGAACTGCCTTCTCAATGGCACTCTTATAACCCGGGAGGAATTCCTGGAAGAATGTGATTCCATTAAAATAACTATCAAAATATGAGAAAGCAATAAGGTGACTTACATCATTCTCGAAGAAGGCCAGCAGGACAAACGAGGTGAGAGCCAAGGCATTCTGGTTGGAATTATCGAAGAGTTTTCCGACCTCCGGGAACTCGCCGTTATCTTTCTGCTTTGCTACGAGGAAGTCGAGACCCGCAATGACGACCTTCGGATCAACATCGGTGTAGGTCCTCGCCTGATGGAAAGAGCGCATTACGTAGGCGGTAAGCCAAGTGCTTCCCGAAGGATCCGACTTTCCAAAGGCACTGTAGGATCCATCATTGTGCTTGTAGGTCAGTTCCCGCTGATAGCCGATCTCCAGGAACTTTTTGGCTTTGGCCTCGATGGCCGGCAACTTGCGACCAGTAACCTCCAGGTATTTCAGCACCAGGATGTTGGGCACAAAGTTCACCATATTCTGCTCTCCGCAACCGTAGGGCATACGCACCAGGTTGTCAAGGTTCTGGAGCGTGGGGCCAAGGAGATCTCCCACCACAGAGAATTCGATAAACTCAGACTGAGGAACAATTTCGCTGGGAATCTCAGCATCCAGGGACTGCGACATCTCAGGCTGATCCTTGAGGTTGATAAAGACTGCTCGGTTTTCAAACTGAGTTACGCCCTCCGGCTCAACCTTTAGTTTCTGATGGATGGTGTCGCCGGCCAAGGGAGAGGTGGCCGTGATTTTCAAGGGTTGTGGTTCCCACGTTCTTTGGTCTGATCATAAAGGAAACACTCTTGCCACTGTTGGCCGGTATGGTAACCCTTTTAACCCGGCGCACCTCATCGATAGCCTTCTCCAACACCTCATTGGTGGCCTCGGTAAACTCGTACTCCTGGTCAGAATTGTCCATTACGATGTCAGCGTCGACTGTTTTCTCCATGTAGTTGAAGATCACAACGGGAATAGCAATCACTTCACCTGGAGTTCATGTGGAATCGTTAGCTTTGGCCTCGACATATAGAGAAAGGGAGTATCCTTACCTCGCTTTACGGAATAGGGCAGATTGGTGGACACAAAGAAGGGCTGGAACACTCGAATCTTGCTTGGGCTCTTGGTCAAAGCAATACCAGAAGTGGGGTTTAGGGAGAAACCCGTAACGACCCATGAAGTAATCGTATCCGGAATCTTCTTGGTCAGGGTGAAGCCCTCCTCATCCACACTGTTTAAGGGTGATAATTACTGTTTAATATCTTCAACTTAACTGGACTAAACATAAACACATTGGACGAACAAAGGCCAGATATTAGGTTGGTGTGAAGGGTTAGTTAACATTAAAACATGCATGGGAAAAGTTAAAAGCATTAGGGAAAACTAGTTACTCTTTTGGGATATCTTGTAGTTCGTATATCCAAGTCTCTAAAAATTTCGACCGCACTCCAAAATTATTTTCGATATTTTCCACTTCTGACGAAGGTTCGCTGATTAGGTCAGTTGGTTTTTGGGTGGTCTTTCGAAGTTTGGTAGAACCCCGCCTTTCCGCACTGACCTTCATGATGGGGACAACACCCCCAACAATTCTTTCTACGCCTTAAATTATTGGGAATAGGAAAAGTGTTTAGTCGGTTACGGAAGGTATATATTAGGTAAATTTAGCCATAAAGAAAATTAAAAAAAAATTAAAATCTTTTGTATCTCTTCAGATTCGGAACAATCTATCAGTTTGAATTTGTGGCAGCCAAAATGCACTTGCTTAGATATTGTTTTCACTTTGATAGGGTCATGCAATAATGCAATCATTTATAACGCTTTCAAGTGTAAAGATTTACTCAGGGATATTCGCGATGATCCAAGTTTCGGGAAACTCTTTTCGAACCGGCGCAGGTGGTAATGGTGCAGGTTGTGATGACACAGTACTTGTGGAAATATATTCGGCGGACTCATCATATTGATCAGCCTCATCATAGTGACCTATCAATGTGCGTCGACTAGCCAAGTAAGGACGACGAAGCCCAAATCTATTTCTCAACGGTATTCGAGGTCTATATAAATTCCTGAGGGAGACTGTAAATTTTATGATAGTTTTATGATTTTTTGTTGTCAAGAAAGGCTTAAAGGAAAAAGTTACTGTTTGTTCTGCTTGGAATGTGGACTAAATGTATCTTCAGAAAACTAAAGATAAAGGAAAAACTGAATTTAGTTTTATAATTATTGCAAAAAAAAAGATTTCCACATTATCAACCATGGAGTATAGTCTCTTTTATCAGATCACGGCCTAAAAAGAAAACTTCCGAATGATAATCATGAAACTCTTAGCGATTTATTTGACTTTCATACGAGCATGCAATGAGGGCCAATTATAAGGTGTTAGGATTTACTCAGGGTTATTCGCGAACATCCAAGTTTCGGGGAACTCTTTACGAATCGGCGCAGGTAATGGGGCACGATATGCTGACACTATTCTTAGTGGAATATGTGCCGAAGACATAGCATGTTGAGGACCTGAGTAATAAAGTACCACTGGGCTTTTGAAAGACCAGTTAGCACCAGGATATCCAATTCGATTTCCCAACGGGAATCGAGATGAATATACCCTCCTGAGGTAGGCTGAAAATTTTATGATAATTCGGTAACAAAAAACTAATCGCTTGTTGTCAGAAAAAAGAAATAGCGGAAAGTGTCCTATTTATTCTGCCTGTTATGTAGGGTTATCTTTAAGTTCAGAAAAGTGAACATAAAGTTTCATTATTATTAGCATTTGATTTCTACTCCATCTACCAAGGACAGTTATGATTAAGAAAACAAATCATCATATTAAAAGCATGTTAAAAGAAAAGGGCTTTGGACTCTGGGTCATGAGGGCATGCACAGTGACGTTACAGGGCACAAAAATAGCAACTTGTACTTCTCAAAAATCCACGTCTCTGGGAACTCTTTGCGTATTACTGTTGGCGGTGGAGTGGGCTTTATAGAAATGCCTCTAATAGGTGCATAAGTGTAGTCGATTTCAGGTAAAAAGCCTCTATTGGCAACTGCAGCGGAACCTGGCTGGCCACCAACGAGATTCATGTCCATGTGAGGTAACCCTATTCGATATGTCATCCATGGTCCGCGATAGGAGTAGGTCTGATAATACAAATCTGATATACAATTTGTTAGTAGGTCTTTCTTTCTTTCTCCTTTCGTTTCTAACAAGTCAACTTTATAATAATGATTTTCTCTTTTATAACATAAAGAAGTAGAGCAACTCTTAGGCTTCTGAAACTGTAGCAGTCTTTAAAATGATTGTGTTAGTCAAAAACATAGAGGGAACTTGGAATAGCAGGAATTATTTTATGGGATTTTCCATACTTTTCAACATTGTAAAATATCCAGTTTTCCGGAAATTCTTTTCGAATTTGTGGTTCAGAGATGGTTGCATGAATTGCGGGTGCAGAGACTGCAACATCCATCGGTACGCGGTTTAGTATTTGGGGGCGGGGAAAACCAAGCCCGGGCCTAAAGATTATTCGTCTTCCTAATATTTACATAACAGTGTACTTTAATCAAGAAAATTAGTTCAGTAGCTAAGTCTATATGATAAGGTTGAGTACATAATATAACCCCCGCTGCAGCATGGGGAGATCGGCCTATATCGTATAAATATTCTTCGGGAAGTTCCTTTTGAGTCTGTGGATTTGGTATTATCTAGTGATGGAGGTGCAGCTATTTCTACTTCTATCAAGCCAAACCTTGGTCTACAGTTCCGTAATTCCTTTGCCCTTTAGTTTTAGTATCTAGATATTAAAGCAGTTGTTAGGAAGTTAAGTATTAAGCGTAAAGATACCACAGGACAATGTACACCCCTACTAAAAATTAGCTTAGAAATCTGTCATACTTTTCTGCATTGTAAAATAGCCAGTTCTCCGGAAACTCTTTTCGAATCTGTGGAGCAGGAGTCAAAGAAGTCGCTATCGTTGAAAATCCACTCATTTCTGCAAAGGCTGTGGTAGGTGCCGCGAGGGAAAATGCAACCGGGTAATCTCCGTTTAGTATATAAGGAAATATGAATGAATCTGCGTCGAGGATATACATGATTAACAATTGATTTGGGGTTTGGCCAGTCTAAGATTGATTTGATTTGCCACCAATTTGGGATGGATATAATCCACCTTTACGAGTTTGCTCTCATATTGTTAGATACCAATGTTGGGCCAGATGATATTAGTTCAATCTCCAAGAACCCTGACTATGTTTAACTGGTATGTGAAAGCCTTCACCTACCGACCTCCGTCTGAGTACTTCACTAGATATTTAGTCGGGTTAGAAAGTAGGAAACTTTTTAATCGAAAGACAGCATGCTATAAAAAATGTCTAAAAAATCTAAAACCCACCTCCCTTGGCCAGTTGTTTGCCATATCCAGACCTCGGCAAAGTTGGTTCGAACTATTTCGGGTTTCTTTGGTGAACTCAAAGAAATCGAATCCACTTCGTCGTAAGCAATTGAATCTGCTACACGGAAGTCAATTTCATCATCGAAATCATAGTCATTTGACCCAGCTAAAATTCGTATTTCATGAAAGTAAGATAGAACTTTGAGGATTGCAATGAAATAGAAAACTACATGAAATGCCCCCGAAACTATCCTGAGAAAACATTCATAATAGTGTGGTACACCCGAATATCCGGGAACTCTTTTCTAATCGCCTCCTCTTTCTTGGTAGAACGATTGCTAAAAATTCTGTTGCTGCTGTAAGAACCCCTGGTATTAGTAAAATATTGCATTGACAGCCTCAGCCTTGAAAAGTAATTGCTTTTGCTCAAGAAATAAATTAAAAAATTAGAAAGCAGAGATAGCAGTGCGTTAAGGTGCAGAACATGTGGCATCATTCTTAGGGCACCCACCTCCGGCCAATCGATTGCCATATCCAGACTTCGGCAAAGTTCTTACGTATCTTTACCGGTTCAATGTGATGCCCGATAGCAGGCTGAATGTTTGCCACTTCAGGCAAGCTTCCTAATCCGCTTTCATCAAAACTTTCTTCGAGAACATAGCTCAACGGTTCATCATCGAGATAATCAGGGAACTCTGATGGAGGATCGATTTTGGTTAGCAAAAGGCCAATAACTTATCTAGCTGAAAACATTAGTTCTGTTTGCCTTTCAAGCCCTTTCCAAAAATTAAGTTTCACCTGTAAAACATAAATAACATCTTAAACCTAATCCTTTGTCCTACCTGTGCTGTAGGGATAGTTGGCGTTGGTTAGGGTCACCAATCCTGAGGCTTGTCCAGGATAACGTCCATAGCCCCGGTGCCAGGGTGTCGATGTCTTGTACTTGTCGAGGCTATTGAAGATCTCGTCTTGGCTTAGATCGTTGCCCGACTTGAGCAGCAGGACACTCTGATCCACACCCAGAAGACCCACAAAGGAGTCGGCGTCTGTTTTCACCCGTAACTTGACCTCTTCACTGGGTTTTGCATCCAAGGGAGCCAAGATATCAATCTATTTAGGAAGATTCAAAGCTTAGCTTACGTTTTATAGAACAATATTTCTAGAGTAAGACTTACAGAATTTTCAAAATCTTTCTGGAATTCTATAGTTTTCTCCTCAAACTGGAGGTCTTCGTGAAGGACATAATGAATATAGATCGTTGCCTTTGGGCACCATACTAAACGTAGGTGTGAACTTGACAGTATAGGTCTTAACACCCTTCGGCACATCCACGTAATCGCTCAGCAGAATATTACCTCTGGACACAACCGTGTATACGAAGTAGGGAATATCTTCTTTGGATATGACATCGAAAGAAACTCTTTCGCCCAGTCTTGGCCTGAAAGATCAAAAACTCATAAACCCACTTTACCGTATTGATAGCTCTTCATTAGCTACTTACGTTTTGGTGTTGACCTGAATCTTTAGCGGCTCGGAACTATCCAAAGTTGGTTCGTATCTTGAGATGGTACCAATGTGGCTCTCTGAACCATCAAAAGTGGCAACAATGCGATAGAATCTGGTATCGCTTTCTGGCAGGGTGACATTAAAGGTGGCAAATGCCATTCTCGTTTACAGGTGCCTCAAAAACAACGCTTGGTCCAGGGGCACTGCCCAGGAAATAGTGATGAGCGTTCTCAAATCTTATCTTCACCATCTTCGAGGAACTCGTGACTGGTGTCCCATCTACGTTCTTCACAGCAACCCGATAGACGAACGACATTTTGGCTTGGTAATGGTTTGGCTTTTCCACATTTTCAATCATGTAACGCTGCTGATGGAGACGAACTGTGGCGGTGGCATTCTGTTTGTTACCCGTCAATTCCTCAGTCACAACGGCGAAGAGTTTCATTGGTGGTGAGTAGCCAAGCGTTTGGAATCCCATAAGATCAAACTCCACATGACCCTTTCCATCAACATCGATGGTCTTCTCCTGTTTGTTTCCGTGGGTATCCCCAAAGTATCCATGGACCTGCTCCATCGTTACAGTAGCCTTTCCTTTGACTGGCTTGCCGTATGTGTATTTGGCTCGAATTGTTGCCTTGATCGCACTATCGCCTATGACCACATCCTTGGCTGTGTCGACAACCACCTCGAATTTGGGTAGAACATACCTGTCCACCTCAAACGACTTGGTCTCCCTGTTGTCACCATCCACACTGACCGTGATCTTCCAGGTGCCCAGGACAGGCTGCTCGGACAACTGGAGCTCACCAGAGTAGACACCTTTGGTCAACTTGATATCTGTTAGCTGTTTGATCCTGTTTTGAGCTCCATCTGTGATTGCCACAGATATGGGCCTGTCAATCTTAGCCGGACGAGTGTTCTCATCCAGAAAGAGAATTCGGAACTGTACGAGATCTGCTGGCTTGTAGGTGGCCTTATCAGTTTGGACAAAGGTCGATGGCTTGATGTCCGCATAGTTCAGTTTTGTGGAATTCTTGAACACCACACCGGAGATTCCTTCAGCAGTTAGATTGTAATCGCCTGAGGACAATTCAGGCACCTCGAACTCCAAATTCATAGATGACATGGGCGGCACCTCGATTTGCTTGGTCTCATTGTAGGAGGGACCATTTAGACTGACTTTTATCTGACTCGGGCCATCTGCCTTGTGAATAGAAACGGCTACATTGTACTTAGACTTGGGCCGCAGGGTGCCAGGCCCGACAACCGAATAAAAGCTGCAAAACAAGCGGAGTTCTTTAATTGAGGTTTGATGATTGTGCGAATGAATATTATCATTGCCGGATTTTGAATACCTAATTGCACTTTCATGTTTATTTCGATAATTAATTATCAGGCTTTATTCCCCTGTTCTATGATTGATTCATTTGAATGTTCTGATAATGGCAAAACGCCTGCGTTATTCTGGGAATCGACTCGGAAATACCTATCAATAGGACTTTTAATTGATATGAAGAGTAAAATTTTTGAGTTTTAAAACATTATAAACATTTATTGTGGGTAATTACCCAAACCATCGGGGATTTCCAAGTATTTTCGTACACCCAAAAGTTCCCCCTTTATGGCATGCCGTTAATATTAATTTGTAGCTGCTATAAGCCCGTGTATTTTACATCTACTTTATAGTGTTACGCAATATTGCGATACTTTTTAGCGCATTTAAACACAATATCGAAATGTCCCGATTGAGCAGCGAAAGAAAACTAACTTAAGCACTCATATTGGTCATTTAAACCAACTTGGTTTTCCAACCGGTTTTAAGGGAATCGGCGACCAAATCGGACAGCCTACTAAATATTTACATACGTGGCTGCACGTCCGTGCATAACAATTCTTATTGGCTGCTTTATATTTATCAGTTTATTTTCTTAGAACACACTTCTGATGACCTCTTCCTTTGTGAAACTGATAAGTGATCAATTCTGATATACTATATGCAAACAATCGCACTTACCCGCTGGCATTGATTAGCAGGGCGTATTGGAAGATAATTCCGCACAAGAAGATCCTTAACATCTTGCTTAGGACGACACGCAAAGCTGAAAAATAATAGACATTTTATTAAAGATTTATTACAAACTCTTAGTTTTCTTATTTCACTTTTTTTGTCACATTAGTTACTGACTCTTAATAAAAATTTCAAAAAAAAACCAACCTTGGGAATCGACTGATCACCAGCTAGTGGCGACAAACAATGAGCTCGTCTTAGTTCGAGACCGGCTTTAAGTACAATCAATGAGGTATGGAAAATGGAACTCTCCCAAGAGATACTGCCCTCTCTGCTCTCTGGAAGCTCTCTTTATGACTTCGGGGAATTCTCCAGCCGTTAAATGAGCAGAATAATAGATGGGCACTAGCAATGCGACTGGCATAGGTTCAAGTATTTGTTTTCGTCACTGATGATAAATCTGTTTACATGCTATACCTCATGTATCGAAGAGAGAGAGAGAGAGCGAGGTTAGATTAAGAGAGGCTGAAAGCTTTTGTAAAGATGCACTCTTTTCACTTTTATTTGCCGGAAAGAATTAATTATTTTATTTATTAAAAATATTTAATGATCTTGTTAACGATTCTGATTCTGATAAGAATGGTCAGACGGAAATTCCTATTGTATTGAAAGATTTTTTGACTTGCCATTCTTATCTGTGAATTACTCATCATTTCTGTTAAAAGTGATTTTCTTTTAGAGTACCATCTGTTATAACCGAGATCATTAACCGGCTGATCATGTTAAACAATGCAGTGATAATTGCTATGAAAACAATGAGCTTATGTTTGGTTTTGTGTTTTAAGCCCTGCAAGTTTGTCAATACGAAAATTAACAAGAATCTGTAACAATTCTTAAATGGGCCATTTAAAAAAATTAATAATCACTCTTTAGGTGCCTAAAAAAAACATATTTAAAACCTGCACAAAGATCTTTTTTTATAGTTAAGTTTTTATACTTTAAAACCATTTTAGATAATGAAAACCATAAGTGTCCTCATTTAAAAATCATTTCATTGAATTTCTTAGAATATGACATTGATTAGACTTCATAGACGTGATTATACTTCTTTACTTTATTTTAACTCAAACAAGAAAGTAAGGCTCAAGGCCTTCTTGCTGCAAATATAGTAGTAATTGCAGAGGGAAACCTAACTAAGAATGTTACTACTAAAATAAAAAAATTCTTCATAAATATTATTGCAAAACAATAGAAATTGCCATTCAAAAAAGTAACACTTTGTTTCTTTTAAATTTGAATAGCTTTTCCTCTTCAGTAACGATGAAAATTCAACGACAGTCCCAACTTATTCTGGATTAGCATACCCAGGCTAATGACTCATCTTAAGACAATTCTTATAAGCATTGAGTTGATTAATTAATCTTTATTTAAATAAAGTTTGTATGTACTCTTTTTGTTATTCATGAGCTTATCAACAAATTTATATATTAATAATAATAAATGGAGCACTTTTTAAGAAGCCTGTATTTGAATGCCATTATTTCTGATGGGTGAGAGACTTCGCTTAGCGCTGAACAGAACCCATACGAATGAAGAGCTTTTAAGCCTTTGAATTTAGCTGAATCTAAAACAATATTTGAAATTAAAATTTTTTTCTTAAAAATAAAGAAAACTTTTCAACGCATCTACAATTATTTACTTTCCTAATCTACTCTGATATACTATACTATTAACATCATTTATTTTAATAGATCCATCTGTGGGTAAAACCATGCACTAAGAATGAGTTCCAACTGGAAGTAACGGTAATGTACAAATTCATATTTTAAACTTCGGAGTAACTTTTTAAGCTATGTTCTGATTACATATTTGGCCCCACTGTGCATCCCTAACATTTATTTGTTTTCATTATTGCTAAGCTTATTGCGCCAACCACGCTGAGAATTCGAACATTGCAAGAGCGATCGGCGGCTTGAGAAATCAGTTGGCTGCGAGCTTTCAAGCGGACAACAGGTGATCGCGAGCGTTCCGCGGCAAAGGTAAAAATCGCGCAGAAGGGGAGGCGAGTAAAGTCGCTACAAAAACGCGCACTTCGTCTTGGGCAATCGACGGTGCTTTTGGTGCTGCTGCAATCGCGAGTGAGACAGTGATATAAACAGTGGGAGTGCGAGAGAGCGAGAGCAAAGCGCCTGCCCACGGCAATAAAGTTCGACTTGATTTTTGTTTTAATATGTGATGCCAATACACAATTCGACAATCGAGAAAACGTGTTTACACTTAATTTTGCTAACGCGATTCAAAGAAAAGTAAAAAAATGCGCCTCCAGGCAGCGGACATGGGAGCTATACCAGTGGTAATCTTAGTCACCGCTTGTTTGTTCTATCAAACATCGGCTCAGGGGTTAGTATAACACACACACACACACACCCTCCATTCCCACCTCTACAGGTGACACATCAAACAAACAAACGAAAAATGGATATATTTTAAAATGCCGCGTAAAGAAATGACATCACTCCAATCGACTCCAGATGAAGTCAGGGAAACAAATGACTTAGACGGGGAACTCGAGAGTTCAGTGTGAATTTCGGGACGATGCCGCCACGCAAATATGTTATTAACAACATGTAATCAAGAAATTAGCCCTGGGTTTTATTACTGTCATAATAAGCTGACAAGATGGAAACCATTCGGGAGATGAAATAATCCGAAGCCAACGCGATTTTTGGAGGCGAATTTTAAACTGCCTACGCGTATTCAACTTGTTAGGGTGATGCAAGGTGGCAAGATGCTAAAAAGGAGATGCATTTCGATAAAAAAAACTAAATAGCTGGATTGCTCAATGGGTTTAGAGTTTGGAAATCAATTTTATCTGAAAATTAATTAATTTAACTAATTAAAATTGTTCTTTCAAAATCAGTTAAAAGTTTGCCCAAATATATGTATGTATATATAAAATATAAAATGGACTCATACATTAAATCTCAGTAAATCCTTTAAAATATTTATCATAGATTTTCTATTAAATAAAATACTTCTAGTCCAACTCAGCTTTAATGCTAATAAAAAACTATCTGAGACAAATATTTGTGTCATTTTAAACAGAATCATTGCCTTACTTGCTCGATTCACCCTGATGCTGCTAGTTGAGGTGACACATAAACATGGATCGCTACTTGTGTACTCATTTCCGATGGCTCACCTTGAAGGCTGACCGGTCGAGGCGATCTTATAATCACTTTGCGAATTTATTAAGCTATGTATGTACAAGTCCACCAAGAACGGTGACTGATCGAGTAATGGCGAGCAATAATTCCACTGGAGGCGTCTACTTCTGGTGCTTTCCACCTTTTTCTTCTGGTATTCATGATCTGTCATTGAGTTGGCTCGATGTTCAATCTGCCACCATATATGGGGCACTCATTCAAGGCTTGATTTCGCCAGCTCATGTGGGTGAATATCAATCAGTTGAACCCGAATCCGAATCCAAACCCGGATAGGATAGAAGCAGATTGGCTATGAAACTCAGCTAGTTACATTCGCTTAACACCCCATGGCAGAATCAATCAGGTGGAACATCGCGACTGCAACTGGAAACTTGAAGCCTGCATTTTGCGGCCAATTTGAGCAAAAGCGAAATTGTTTTTTGCCGTTTACCTGTGCTGGCTAAAAACCGTTTTGCGAGAGCGACCACCGCCGCCGAGGGAACCTGTTTCTTTTAGGCTAACAAACGTGACATAAACACAAAAGAAAATTTTTGGTGGGAACAGGTTAGACCCGCCAAACTAACCAATTGGAATTAGAACAGGCGGCAAACTGTGAATTACGCACAAAAAGCTGGCACAGTTACGAGGCAGTTTATAAATTTGGCAATTTGGCTATCAACTAAATGAAAACACAGAAGTTTACTACCAAAACAGCAGGGTATAAGTAGAGTCAGAAACGAGTACTGAATGGAAAAGTTGAAAATGAAAAGAAAACATTGCTTAGGCAACATTGTTATTTGAATGCTCTTTTTGGAGATGAAGACCATTAATGTTTATGCTAATATAAATCTTTTGGTATAATATTTTCACTATACACAATAATTTTCATATTAAGATTGTAATTCTCTTAACAAAAACTGGGCTCAGTCATTAGGATCTTTCTTTTTATCAAAAGCTATTAATCCGAGTTTATACCTTTGACTTAGCATATCTTATAGAAAATTCAGACTTTAACATTTAAAAAACAAATAGATTTAAATTAGACAAAATTTGTGTGACTAACAACTGCAATTGTTTGTGTCGGCTGATTCAAAAAGCTTACAGTTTCTGCATTTCGAGGAAGCGACAAAAGAAAACCACAAAAAAATAGTTATAGCTCGAGCCACTCTGCCGTACTTCCCACCGACACAACCACCAACACCACGACCCCGACTATAAACCACCAAATAGCAAACAGCAACCACCGACCTCCTCCAAACATTTCCGACAGATACCGCACCGCAGCGATTGATGCTGACCCGACCGAAGAGTTAAAGTACAATACCCCCTTTGGGGTTGGGGCATTGTCTTCCGTTAGACGCGTGAATGAATAGCGAAGAAAAGATTCAGATAGCATAGCAGCATAGGTGTAATCCACTTATCTGCGAACATTAAATCTGTACCTCTTTTTGTTTGTTTTTGTTCGGCTTTTGGTTTTTTTTCGGTAAATGAGAAATGGCAGCTATCCAAATCTAAAAAATAGGGAAACTTAAACACGAAGATCTTTCATGGTTTTATTAAAGTTATATTTTCTATATTCTTTATAAACTTATTTAAATTTTTCATTTTATGACTTTCCTACAGTCTTTACTCCATCATTGCCCCGAACACAGTGCGACCGAATTCGCAATTCCATGTGGCCGTGAGCTTGCACAATGCACCTGAGTCAGCCACTTTCAAGGTGGGGATACTAGGAAGCACCTATACGGACTTTAAGACCGTAGAGTTACGACCTTTTTCCACACAGCTACTCCACTTTGAGGTAGGTTTAGCTTTTTAGCAAAAGATCTTCTACTTATCTAAGACGACTATCCAGATTCCCGCCCTAAGAACTGACAGATATCGTCTCACGGCTGAAGGCTTCGGTGGTGTTCAGTTCACCAATGAGACTCAGCTGCACTTCGAGTCCAAGCAACATACTGTTCTGGTCCAGACGGACAAGAGCATCTACAAGCCAGGCGATCTGGTCCACTATCGTGTTCTGATCTTGGATGCCAATCTAAAACCTGCTCGTGGCTATGGACGAGTGCATGTGGACATCAAGGATTCGGGTGACAATATCATAAAAAGCTACAAGGACATTCGCCTGACCAATTCGATTTACTCGAACGAACTTCGATTGTCGGATTACCCACGGTTTGGGACCTGGTCCATAGTGGTTGATGTATCTGATCAAGCTCATACACAAACCTTCGAGATACTCGATCACATTCTACCCAAATTCGTGGTGGATATAGATACACCTAAGCATGCTATCTATAAGGATGGCAAAATATCAGCCACTGTCAGGGCGCAGTGAGTATATAGATCTATATCTATATCTATATCTATATCTATATCTATATCTATAAAAATGAGTCTACCCCTTAGCTATGCATTTGGTCATCCAATTGTGGGCGAAGCCACCCTATCCATATATCCCACCTTCTTCGGCTCTCTTCAACCCTTTGTCAATGATCTCATTACCCGAAAAGTTGTCCCCATTGACGGCAGCGCCTACTTTGAGTTCGATATAGAGAACGAGCTCCATCTCAAGCAGGACTATGAAAGGCAGTATCTTTTGGATGCCCTGGTCGAGGAAAAGTCCACTGGATCTGTGCAAAACTATTCCACCGTCTTGACCCTGCACTTGAATCACTATCGTGTCGAGGCTGTCAAGGTGCCCAGTTACTATATCCCTGGTGTGCCTTTTGAAGCTATAGTAAGTACTTACTAAAGAATCTTTCCTTTACATTTTTTAACAACATATTTTCTAGGCTCGTATAGCCCGCAATGATGGCGGTCAACTGAGGGACTTTAATCCGCAGATTACCGCATATTTGACCAATGTCTACGGCAGCAGTGAGATGTATAATCGCACGGCCTATAGTTTGGATGCCAGTGGCGAGATAAAAATGAAGTTTACGGTTCCTATTGGGGATCGGGATGAATACCATTCTATCATTGTCGACTACCAGGGTGTGATTAGTGAGGTGGGAAAGATCCCGAGAAAACATCTGCACAGCAAAAACTATATCACTGCTAAGATCTTGAACGATAGGTGAGTGAGAAGGTCAAATATAAATATAAAGGTCAATATCTAATGGCTTTATACATTTTAGACCCACTGTCAACCAAGAAATTTCTGTGGTGATACGCTCTTTTGAGCCCATTAAGTATTTTATGTATCAAGTGGTCGGGCGTGGGGATATTATTCTGTCTCGCAATGTGGATGTAAGTTTTAAGGTTGTGTTTTTAAAGAGCTTTTTTTAATAACTTCTTACTTCATAAGGTGGCCGATGGAACTTTCCACACAATCAAGTTCCTAGCCTCATTCGCCATGATGCCAAGGGCCAAACTGCTCGTTTATACGGTAGTAAATGGAGAGTTTGTTTACGATGAGCAGGTCATACAGTTGGAAGAAAATCTGCTGAATGCGGTAAAAACACCAAGAAAGCAAGTGAAATTTCCAATTAAAATATTTTCATTTCTAGGTACAAGTTGAGGCTCCAATAAGAGCACCTCCCGGCCAGGATATTGATATAGGCATCAGTACCAAGCCCTACTCTTATGTGGGACTCATGCTGGTGGATCAAAATGCCAATGCCCTGGGAAGTGGGCATGACTTGACCCACAAACGACTGATGGATGCCCTGCGATCATACGAACTGAGCGATGTGAACACTCCAGTGGGATCACCAGGCAAGGAATCTGGTGTGATAACCATGTCCAACACGGATTACTTTGTCGAAAAGGAAGCTGAGAGCAGTCCTGCCTTAGGACGAGACAGTTCCACTGGTCCCGAGGAAGATAAGCTTACCACTGTGAGAAAAACCGACATTGGACCCGCCCACAAGATCGAGGTTAATACCTTGCCTCCAGGCAAAGGGCGATACGCGTTTTCCTACACCCCCAAGCCCTTCTGGCACAATCCAAGGGTCCATGTGATGCGTGATCCTGCGGATACGTGGCTCTTCTTGAACATCTCGGCCAGCAGTGATGGAAGGAACTCCATCCACAGAAGGATTCCCAGTGAAATGACTTCTTGGGTAGTTTCCGCCTTTGCTTTAGATCCTGTTAATGGCCTTGGTTTATCTCCGGCAAATGGTAAAATGGAGGCATACAAGGAGTTCTATATAACTACCGATTTACCCTATTCCATAAGGAGGGGTAAGTCTTACATAGACTTTCGATAAGTCTTAAGAAAATAACACTAAATTGATTTCCAGATGAACTCATTGCCATTCCGTTCGTTGTGCACAACAACAGGGACAGCGATTTGAACGTGGAGGTTACCTTTTACAACTCAGCCCTGGACTTTGATTTCCCCCAGCTAGATCCCAAGGCCACAAACCAGCCAAGTAAGTTATCCTTGATATTTCCAAGTTTTTTAAAATCCTTAAACTTAATGATTCTTACAGAGGTGGAGCTCTACAGGCGTCGATCCCTGCAGGTGCCGGGTAAATCAGCCCGCTCAGTATCCTTTATCGTAACACCAAAGCGAGTTGGTTCTCTGTTGGTCAAGGCAATGGCTGCTTCTTCCCAAGCTGGCGACACAGTGGAGCAAAATCTGCTGGTGGAGCATCCTGGAGCCACGGAACGGGTTAACAGGGGCTTCCTTTTCGAACTGAACTCAAATGCCCAAAATAGGAGGAATGTTACCATTGCGGTTCCACGAAATGCAATTCCAGAATCCACGCGAATCGAGGTGTCAGCCGTTGGAGATCTGATTGGCAGTTTGGTGGGCAATCTGGACAACCTCATCCTCCTGCCAACGGGCTGCGGTGAACAGACCATGGTGAACTTTGTACCCAACTTAATGGTCCTACGCTACCTGGGAGTAAGTTAATATCAGAAAAGTTGTTTTGAAATTATGTTAAAAAATCTTCCTTCCAGCGCCTTCGCCAACTCACTCCAGAAGTGGAACTCCGTGCTACGAACAATCTGGCTGTTGGCTATCAAAGAATTCTCTATTATCGCCATGAGAATGGCGCTTTTAGTGCCTTCGGATTAGATGCCAAGAGGAGCTCCACCTGGCTGACTGCTTATGTGGTTCGTTCCCTCCGACAAGCGGCTCCCTTCACCCAAGTAGATAGCAATGTCCTACAGAAGGCACTAACTTATCTGGGAAGTGTTCAGTCGGCGAATGGCGGGTTCGAAGAGCGTGGCGATGTCTTTGAGAGATTCGGCGATGATGGCATCAGTCTGACCGCCTTTGTGACCTTGGCTCTAATGGAAAATGTGGTAAGTAATAGAGGTGACTAGCAATGAAATAGGAAATATATTATATCATAATTGGTCTAGGATCTCTATCCGGAATACCGGAATAACATCAACAAAGCCCTGGACTTTATCACCAGAGGCTTGGATGGGTCCAACAATCTGCATGCCATGGCCTTGGGCACTTATGTGCTCTCTCGGGCAAATCATAATGCCAAGGCAGCTTTCCTTCAGCGGTTGGACTCGATGGCTACCAACAAGGGTAGGCTAATCCATTTTCAAGAAGGTTATTCATTAATAAAGGGAATTCTATTCAGATGGTCGCAAATGGTGGAATAAGACAGCTCCCGCTGGTGAACAGCAGTCACCCTGGTACAATGCCACCCGGAGTGTCAACATTGAGATCTCCGCTTATGCCGCCTTGGCTCTTTTGGAAAACAACTTGGTGGGCGATGCCCTGCCCGTCTTGAACTGGCTAATGGATCAGCGAAATCCTAAAGGTGGCTTTGTGGCATCTCAGGATACGGTTGTGGGCCTACAAGCGCTCCTCGTGTTTGCCGAACGCTTCTCAAGTCAAGGAAATAATCTCCAAATCGGTTTTCATTATGGAGAAGGTGCCGAAACGATAATTAATGTGAATGCCGAAAACTCACTGGCTCTGCAAACAGTAGAGGTGAGCTTAAATATAGTTTGTCTAACTAATGATAGGATTAATGTTTAATCATCTTTTTTAGCTGCCTAACAACCTCAAAAACCTGAGCGTTTCGGCCACTGGACGTGGCATGGCCTTGGCCCAGGTCAGCTACACTTACAACACGAATGTGACCAGTGCCTGGCCACGATTTGTACTGGATCCCACTGTGAATCGAAACTCCCATGCGGACTACCTTCATCTATCGGCCTGCGCCAGCTTTGTTTCCGTGGCGGGCGAGGATGAACAGCGATCCAATATGGCCGTGATGGAAGTGCAACTGCCCAGTGGCTTTGTCGTGGACAGGGATACACTTCCCACCCTGGAATCGAGTGAGCGTATCAAGAAGGTTGAGACCCAGAACAGGAACACAAAGGTGGTGATATACTTTGATTACCTGGACAGAAGGGAGGTCTGTCCCACGCTGCACGCCTACAAGACGGTCAAGGTCACTAAGCATCGACCTGTAGCTGTGGTCATGTATGACTACTACGACAGCGGTAGGTTTAACGAATTTCAATCTAGATAATAAATTTATATATTTAAAAATCATTTTTAGCTCGTCGGGCTAGGCAGTTCTATAGGGCGCCCAAGTCGAACATCTGCGACATCTGTGAGCACGCCAGCTGCGGTGACCTCTGCGAAAAGGCTGAGAAACGCGCGGCAAAGCGACCTGATGACTACACGGCGGTAGCGGGTCGGAATTCAGGACTTGACCTCCAATCTGTTCCACTCCTATCGGTGGCACTGTTGGTGCTCTTGAAGAGCCTCAGCTGTTAGACGATATTGTTATTGCCACGAAATGTGGAACCAACAAGGAAATCGAAGCTTTAACAAAACCCACTCACATAGTCCCTAAGCTAGCCTAATGAATGCCGTGAACTAAACCTGATCTAAGTACATCTAACGATGCTAAAGTGTTGCCAATAAAGTGTTATAACGTTTACTAAAAACTGAAAAAAGTGTGTGATTTCTAAAATTTATATAAATTTGCAATGTTCTAATTTTACAATTTCTACATTTTAACATTTTACTTTACTTATTTTACACGAAACTCAAGAAGCCGAAACACAAAATATTTCTCGACTGTTCCCCTTGACAGATACACATTTGCTGATTTAAATTTGACAGGGTAGAAGAAACTTTTTAAAAATAGAAAATAGAAATTTTAACACTTTTCACACTAAGTCTAGTTCAGTATGCTAAATTCTAGGCACAACCATAAGTGAAAATGGCTGATAACGCGCCTCCAACAGATCCTTCGCGCAAGGAGAAGCGCATAGAAAGGGACGAGAATCGTGGCCAGTGGAAATCCAACTCGGAGTTCATCCTCTCACTTCTTGGTTATGCCATAGGCATCGGCAATGTGTGGCGCTTTCCCTATCTCTGCTACCGCAGTGGCGGCGGTAAGTACTCGGCTCAACGACCCAGTCACCCACCCACCCACCGTTCAGCAAATCGATGAGTGAGCTCAAGCTCTTGCCGCTCCCAAAATAGCGCACCACTGACGTCAACGGGCGAGACTGGTGCACTGAGAGGCGATGGTTATTTTTAGGCTTTAGCTTTCGCTGAAAGCTGGCAAAGCTCGGGCACTTTTGATGGCCATTTGGCCAGCCGAACAGCGACGCCTTCGATAGCTCAGTTGGTAGAGCGGTGGACTGTAGAGTTTTCTCGATGCTTGGTGATGTTTGGTGATGCGAGCTGAGGCAGGACATTCTGGGCCAAAACAATACCCTGGCTCCCAGATTCCTGATGCCTGCTCTCGTGTCATCAGTTACTTATCCGAGATATGTTGGAATCCATAGGTCGCTGGTTCAAATCCGGCTCGAAGGATACTTCTTTTTTTTTTTGTTCGCTTTTCTTTTGAGAATTTAAGAATTTCTGTCTGTACTCCCCACTTTAGCTGCTTTCCTTATCCCCTATTTGCTGATGGTAATTTTAGCCGGTATTCCCCTATTTTACATGGAGGTTCTGATCGGACAATTTTCTGGCACGGGCTGCACGGGAATGTTTCGGATGACCCCCCTATTAAAGGGGACCGGCATTGCTCAGGTGGTAGTGAACGCTTACTGCGTCTGCTATTACTCAGTAATTATATCCTATCCCATCCGTATGATATCCTACTGCTTTTTCAAGAAGGTGCCTTGGGAGGACTGTAAAAATCCATGGAATACCGACAGATGTGTCGTCGGTGATGCGGTAAGCATTGACATTGATTCACCGGAAGTATCCTTGCCTACATTGCAAACTCAATAAAATCTCAGGTAAGAAAATTTAATCGTTCGGAGGATTTTCAAACTGCCGCCGACCAGTTCTTTCAGTAAGTGTCAATTATTTTTGTTAGTATATTTTATAGTGCGTCCTTAAAATATTAAATATTTTATTAACTAGCCTTTAGGTAAGTAGAGTTTTAATTAAAACCTTCTTTTGCAGCAGGGAAGTGCTGAAAATCTCATCAGGCATTTCCGAAATTGGCGGCATGGTGTGGCAGCAGCTTGTGAGCTTGCTGATCACCTGGATTATTATCTACCTATGCCTGATTCGTGGAATCAAATCGGTATGTCCTGCAGTTCTAGTTCATCTTCATCCTGCCTAACCCCAATCGAAAACAGGTGGGAAAGGTGGTCTACTTCACGGTACCCTTTCCGTATGTACTGCTTTTTATCCTGTTCGTCCGAGGTGTCACATTACCCGGAGCCTGGACGGGAATCAAGTTCTACCTGTATCCCGAGTGGGTTCGCCTTCTGGACCTCAAAGTCTGGGCGGATGCCGCCATTCAGATGTTCTTTGGCCTGGGACCAGGCTGGGGTGGAATAATCAATATGGCCAGTTTCAATAACTTCCGGAACAATCCCAAGTACGACTCGGTTCTCATAGTGTCGATCAATGTGTTTACCAGTGTCTTTGCGGGATTTGTGGTGTTCTCTGTTCTGGGTTTCCTCTCGGGTAAGTGAATTTTCGTATGCGCATATTTGAAAGCCTTCAGAAGTTTTCATTCCAAAGAAAAGTCGGGCATTCCTGTGGATAGGGTGGCTACAGGTGGAGCAGGACTGGCCTTTGTCACCTATCCAGAGGCCATTGCCATGATGCCAGTCCCGCAGCTCTGGTCGCTCATGTTCTTCCTTATGCTCTTTCTCCTGGGTATCGATAGTGTGGTATGTTGAGAATCTTCCACAGATATCAAAATAATGCATTTGGTATTTGCTAAATCTTTCGCCATCCACAGTTTGTCCAACTGGAGGCCATCATGTCATCCATTTTGGATGAGTGGCTCTGGGCGCGTCAGCACAAATACAAACTAACGCTAATTTCTTGCCTAACCTTTTTCGGGCTCTCAACCTTAATGTGCACGAATGTAAGTATTCCCAAAAATAGTTAAGCCGCCTTCTAATTTTCCTTCTACAAATTTAAGGGTGGAATGTATATCCTGCAGCTTTTGGACTGGTACTCCTCGGCGATAGCCGTAATTGTCATTTGTTTGGTGGAGATCATTATGGTGTCCTATATCTATGGCATTAAAAACTTTCTGCTAGATGTCGAGTTTATGCTTGGCAAACGGCCAAGTCTAATGTGGAAAATCTCCTGGCAGATCGTCACTCCCATAATCCTAGTCGTAAGTAAAAAGTTTTTTTATCTATTAAAAAACCTCGAATGAAATGTTTTTTATTAATATAATAATATTTTCAGTTCATTCTCATTACGAGCATCGTGTTTATTCGGTCGGTCACCTACAACAACGTTTCGTACCCGCATTGGGCCATTGCTATCGGCTGGCTCACTTTTGTGTCGTCAGTTATTTGGATACCTCTATATATATTCTATATCATGATCCGGAAGCGAACCTCGATACGCGAAAGCCTGAAGAAACGACTAAAGCCCCTGGATTGGACCCCAGCGGATCCCCAATATAGAGCGGAATACGAGGCCTTTCGGAAGCAGCGTCGAATGCCAGGCTTTATGTCAGAGACAGACATTGAGAGTACCAAATAGGTTTCATTTTTTAATTCACTCATACATTTGTATATTTTAACCATATCACGAGTTCAGAAGAATATTCTCTAGTAAAGCTAATAAAATCCATAGGAAAGTATTTTCAGAATATGCACCGTTCGAGGTAAGGCCGCAAGTTGGAAAAGAAAATCTACAAAAATTATCTTCCATTTTATAATCGTTTGGTCAAATGGTACAGGTGATAAAAGTTTTGGACCATATAAAATATTAATATTCTTGATTAGGATCTAAAGCATGCATATTCTAAAGATTTCGCCTAAAGAAATGTATGTTTTAAGTTGTCGCAAAAACAACATGGTCAGTTTATGGAGACACTTTGCAAAAAAATTGTAAAATTAATAAACACTGTAACGGCTATCAGATTGTCGGAAGTGCGCTTAAAAATGTAATGTGTTTTTAAATTATCACTTCTTCATTCACGTCATCGATAAGCTCAAAAAGTTGGTCGGTCACCTCCGTTTGCCCTACAGCTTCCCCGTAACGCTGGCGGTGCTCCTCCTCAGCCGGATACCAATCTGTGGGTCGACAGGTGCGTCTGAAGCGCTCGCAAAAGGAGCCGCTGTTCTGGTAAACGTAGTAAAATCCATAGGCAGGTATTGCCAGAGCGCATAGCACCAAAAGTATATAGTGAATCGAATGGACCACTACATACGTCTGATAGTGTTCTCGTCTTAAAAACTTTATTCCCGATACCTAGTATGAAAATTAAATTAGCAAGGTAACAAAATCGAATCCTATGTTGGTAACAAACCAAACAACCCAGCAAAATAAACGGAGCAATGAAGCGGAGTGTGAAAACCTTCCAGGAGGCAAACGGCTGCCCCAGCATGAACTTAATATCCCGCTGGAAACGTTCCCGTCCGTAGATCCACAAAACCACCAAAAGAAACAGAAAGTGGAGCACACTGTGTGACACAGTAATACTGTGACTAAACCCCATAACGAACATAATTCCATGCTGAAAATCATAGAAGACAAAATGGTTTATATCACAGTTAATGTTATGTTTTAGATGTTTGATCAAATACTTACATTGACGCTATGGGCACAGGAACAAACTGCCAAGCCTCCAATGAGGCCAAAGGTTACTTCCATTTTTCTCTTTCTAAGTGTTTCAAACTCGTCGAATAAGCTTTGCAGGATAGTAAAGATTTGTGTTGCCTGCAATTGAGAACAATCTTAAGACTAAAAGCAATAAATATTTGAAAAGGAATGATTCTACTCAGAGAAATCCGGTCATATGTTTTACCATTTCAAACTTACCAAAACAATAAGACCAGCCATTAATAACATTGTATAGTAAAGAACAGTCCAAAGGTTCGGCCAACCCACGGAGGATAAAGCAGAAGCACCGCTCAGATAGTACATCCAGTGGGCAATAACAATATGATCTTCAGAAAGTCCTGTAATGAAAAAAGGAATTACTGTAAATCTGAATCAAATCACATTTTTCCCTAATAAATGGTTTCTGTCCGATGCTGCTTCTTATGTCTTGTTGTAGTTACCTTTGTAGTAGTGATCGAGCATACAGTGAAGCATGTCAAACATGATGAAAATTAAGACCTGTCCGATGGAAATAATCCAACTGTACGACATTATGTTGGTCCTGAACCCATTGAAACTGGACAGAGCTATCACACTGCCCCAACCAGCCCCTAATCCAAATACGACCATACCAAATGATCGGCCGATTTCGTATTCCACATAAAGGACTTTGGGAGTCAAATATCTTTCCAGCCCTTTCATGGCTCCTGGGATAAACGAAATTCGCACAAAGCACACCAACAGAAGACACAGTGTTGCAATAACCATATATCGTATGAACTTTCCAAACTTTGCGGTCTCTGAAAACTTATAGAATATAACTGCAATCGTTGCCCAAATGAGAACGCAGAGGCCCACATAATTCCAGTCTACCGGATCGTCGTCTTTTGAGTTGTAAGTGGTAAATTGGTAACTGTCAAAATAAAAAACAAATCAGAAAATATTATTTGATAAATAATAAATTCACCTTAGCATATAATGGTGTAATAGTATGGTGTATTAGTAATAACCTTCGCTGCTGTCACTTTGGACTCTGGTTGTAGTTTCCCTTCAATTTGTCGTATACTCAATATATATAAAACGAGAAGTAAGTAAAAACAACTCAGAACTTTTAGATAGCTTAGTTTTAGTCTTATTAGTTTATGTCTTATCCAATTTTAAAATAATAATTTTGTTAACGCCGATAATATTAACTGCCGCCACCTATTGTCAGAAAATAGCAACTAACCTCGCTGCCCATTTGATAAACTAAATAAATATGAAATCGAGAAAAACAGACAAGAAAGTGTTATATAAGTTATAAATAAAGTAAAATAATATAAAATATTTTATATTTTATATTATATATATAAAGGTAATAAAGTTTAACCAATTTGAAAACGAAATTAAATATGACTCCTTGTGATGTGATTGCACTTTCAATCACTGAAATATCTTGAAATTCTCACTGGATTCAAAAAGTTCTGTTTACTGTGGTATGGACCTTATATAATAGTGTAATACTTACTCAAAGTAGAGACTGGAAGGTACGTTAACATATTTTGAATCATTGGTGTGTGTTGAAGAGTTTATATACGAGTAGCCCGATTCCATTGTTAAATGACATGTCTTTAAGCAACAAGAAAATTGTAATAGTTTTCGATTGAAACTCTCTTAATAACGTTTCTTACAGTAAGTCCTTGAGACTCATTGAACCACGACGATAACCCCTCGCAACTCCAAGGCAGAATGGGTTTAAAGGAGTGCCAGATGTAGAAAAGTGGAACAGAAGCGAACGTGCCGTAGTAAATGAGAAAGATGGTAGTCAGGAAAGGACTCAAATAACCTATGCCTAAAAATCATTATTGAAATAAAACAGAAAACTTATATTCTGGTAAATATTAGTTACCTTTAAAGAAAGGAGCCAGACGTAAGGCGGAGATGAAGCCACTGCTCGAAAACTGGCCCATATAAGAGTGAATGACCAAGACCGGAACCACATAGATAACCATATACACAAAGTATGGCAGCATTCCAACAACTAAAGTTAGCAAATAAAACTTAATTCAAGCATAAAATGTCTAAGATATACATTTAAAACTCTGATTTAACGTGAAACAGAAGTAAAACTTGTTCAGCAAAGACAATATATTATGTATAAGAAGTATTAGTCTAAATTATGCATTATTGGAACAACGCCCCTAAAAAGATAAGGTTAGCACTGAAGCTTAAACCTTGTTAGGTATATAATTTGGTTTTAAAAGTTCCTATAACTTACTGCTCATTTCGCCATACAGATCCGTCTTCAGGACTAGTCCTATGCAGGCAAAAATGAAGTCCGTCGGTTTTTCCCACTGCCCTCGTCCTAAATCGGGAGAAGCTGACTTATGCGCCATCCCATACGAGTTTTTATAAACCTTGTTGCAACCACAATATTAATAATCAAGATAAATTAGGTCACTGTGATCCTATTTTGCAAGCCAATAGAGGTATAAATAGTACAAGCGATCCACGAAAACTAAATTCTATTCCGCTAATAAACCTCTGTTCAGCTCATCCCACTCAAGTGAGATAACTATGTTCTGGTCATAGTTAAAAAATGCATAGTTGCAAATGAAAAGTTACAATGATACACACATCAATATTGCGTTGTGTGTGTGAGATGGGGATAGAGCCAAGGAGATCTTGGAAAAGGAAAAAGCTCTCTCTCTCTCTCTGCAACCGCGCTTTTGCTCTCCATTCGTTCTTTGTGAACTTACTTTCTACTTACTTGCTTCCAGACAACGAGAGCGTGTGCTTGTGAAATAAATATTCTAAACTATAATTGAAGTGATTTATTATTTGGCAAATCGGGCATGAATAATACTTAGGTGTATTTTTCGTTTCAATTAATTCAAGACTAACATTATTTTATTCAATGCGAATTCATTTGCAAATTATACCCCTTTGTATACTTAATACACAAAACTTATCTTTGTATGTTAAAGCAGAAGATTACACTTGACTTATCTATGAACATTTTTGCAATAACTACAAGTAAGTTCCAGGAATGAAAGTAGGCCGGTATTTCATAAACGTCAGGAATCATCCGGAAATGACTCAGTGCCCCAGTTCCCAGCAAAGTAAGCCCCGTGAGTTGGAAAAGAAAATCTACAAACTTACTGAAAAACAAAGAAATAAAAAGGAAATTATCTTTTAATTTTTCTTTGTAGATATAGTGGTTGTGGTTTCTACTATATACTAGTATAGTACAGTATTATATAGTATTGATCAGGATCAATCGCTCTGTCCGTCGGCCCGCCCGTCTCTCCGCCCATCGTATAACCGCTGAGATCTCAGAAACCATAATATATATTAAGCATATCTTAGGGTTTATGATTCGGTTCGAATACTTTTTGAAGAACCAAAAAAAGTTTATTGGTAAATTTAAGCTTAAAGGCCCCTCATGGATAGTGACGTCACCGTCCCAAAGTATAAAATTCTTAATCTTATTTATTTTATTTATTTATATTTAATAATAAATATTTACATTTTTCTAAAGCACTTTAAAAATGTACTAGCTTAAAGCGAGAAGTGCAAATTATACCAAGCCGAAAAGATTTTACCAAAAATTGTTCTTCATTGAAACTTAAAATAGTTTTTTTTATATATTGTATATACGTGTATACAAATATTGGACACAAATCCGTTTAAAAATGTAATGTATTTTGATAATCTTATCACCTATTCATTCACATCATCGATAAGCTCAAAAAGTGGGTGGTCGGTCACCTCCGTTTGGCCTATAGCTTCCCCGTAACGCTGGCGGTGCTCCTCCACAACCGGATACCAATCGGTGGGTCGACAGGTGCGTCTGAAGCGCTCGCAAAAGGAGCCGCTGTTCTGGTAAACGTAGTAATATCCATAGCCAGGTATTGCCAGAGCGGATAACACCAAAAGTATATAGTGAATCGTGTGGACCGTTGTATACATCGGATAGTGTTCCTCTATCAATAACTTTATTCCCGATACCTAGTATGGAAATTATATTAGTAAAATAACATACGTGAATGTTGGGAACAAACCAGACAACCCAGCAAAATCAACGGAGCTATGAAGCAGAGTGTGAAAACCTTCCAGGAGGCAAACGGCTGCCCCAGCATAAACTTAATATCCCGCTGGAAACGTTCCCACCCGTAGATCCACATAACCACGAAAAGAAGGAGTAAGTGGAGCACGCTGTGTGTCACAGAAATATTGTGCAGAAAGGCCATAAAAAAAATCATTCCATGCTAAAAATCATACAAGACAATAGTTTATACCGTACATAATGTTGTATTTTAGATTTTTTATCTATTTATCTAACACTTAGTTAAATCAAAGAGCTAAAATTGGGCTACGAATAGCAGCTTAGGCCTTTTGCTATGTTTAAATGCCCAATATTACAATGGTTTACTATTTACATTTTATTTACATAATACGATCCAATACTTACATCGATGCTATGGGCACAGGAACAGACTGCCAGGCCTCCAATAAGGCCAAAGGTTACTTCCATTTTTCTCTTTCTAAGTGTTTCAAACTCGTCGAATAAGCTTTGCAGAATAGTAAAGATTTGTGTTGTCTGCAATTGAGAACAATCGAGTTAAGACTATAAACAAGAAATACTGGAATGAATCATTTCGATTCAACATTAAGAAATCCGGTCATATGTTTAACTATATCAAACTTACCAAAACAATAAGACCAGCCATTAATAACATGGTATAGAAAAGAATAGTCCAAAGGTTCGGCCAACCCATGGAGGATAGAGCAGAAGCAGAGGACAGAAAGAACATCCACAAGCTTATAACATCATGATCTTCAGAAAGTCCTATAATTGAAAAAGTAATAAGTGCCAATCGGACTTAAACTAAAATTTTCCTTGAATGAATCGTTTCTGTCTGATGCTGCTTCTCATAAAGTATTATTTTAGTTACCTGTGAAGTAGTAAGAAAGCATAAAGTCAACCAGGTCAAACATGATGAGAATGATGACCTGTCCGATGGAAATAATCCAACTGTACGACATTATGTTGGTCCTGAACCCATTGAAACTGGACAGAGCTATCACACTGCCCCAACCAGCCCCAAATGCATGTATGACCATAAAAAATGTGCGGCCGAATCCCCTATCCACATCACGGACTTTGGGAGTAAAATATCTTTCCAGCCCTTTCATGGCTCCTGGGAGAAACGAAATGCGCACAAAGCACACCAACAGAAGACACAGTGTTGCAATAACCATATATCGTATGAACTTTCCAAACTTTGCGGTCTCTGAAAACTTATAGAATATAACTGCAATCGTTGCCCAAATGGGAACGTAGAGGCCCACAAAATTCCAGTCTACCTGATAGTCCTCTGTTGGGTAACGAAAAGTAATAAATTTGTATCTGTCGAAATAAAAAACAAGTTAGTAAAATATTATTTAATAAATATTGGTTGCTTCTGCATAATAAACATTTGTATTTATTTTAACAAATTAACCTTAGCATACAATGTTAAGTCTAATAGTTGACTACAGAGCGTTGCCTGCAGTCGCTGATTATTTGGCAAAACTTGTAGTTTCCCTTCAATTTGTCAAATACTGAATAAGTATAAAAAATTATGTAAGAAATAAAAACAACTCAAAACTCTTTGACTATAAGATAACTGTTAAAATCTTATCCAATTTTAAAATAATTATTTTGCTAGCAGAAATTGACGCAGAGAATATTTACTTGCGCCATCTTTTGGTAGAAAATAGTAACTTATGTAGCTGCTCATGTGATAACCCCAAAAAATTATGAAAAATGTTCCGATTTGAAAATTTTTTTAAAAATGTGGGAGTGGTTAATATAATATGATATTATCCATCTATTGATCCTTATAAAGAATTTATACATATTATGAACTTATATACTTATTCTTACATATAATAGTTTCATACTTACTTATTGTATAGATAAGAAGGTACGTGGACATGTTTCGAATCATTGGCGTGTATGGAAGAGTTTATATACGAGTAGCCCGATTCCATTGTTAAATGACAAGTCTTTAAGCACCAAGAAAATTGTAAAAGTTTTCGATTGAAACTCTCTTAATAACGTTTCTTACAGTAAGTCCTTGAGACTCATTGAACCACGACGATAACCCCTCGCAACTCCAAGGAAGAATGGGGTAAAAGGAGTACCATATATAGAAAATCGGAATAGCAGCCTGCGTGCCATAGTAAATGATAAAGGAGGTAGTCAGGAAGAGATTCACATATCCTATGCCTTAAAATCAAGATGAAACAAAACACAATTCATATTTTATGGTCGCAAATACTTACCTTTAAAGAACGGAGCCAGACGAAAGGCGGAGATAAAGCCACTGCTCGAAAACTGGCCCATAAAAGAGTGGATGACCAAGACCGGAACCACAAGGATTACCATATACAAGAAGTATGGCAGCATTCCAAGAACTAAAGTTAGCGAATAAAACTCATTTTAACCATAAAATGTCTAAGATATATACGAAGATAACATAATATATTTTATGTATAAGAAGTATTAGTCTTAAATATGCTTTATTGGAACAACGCCCCTGAAGAGATAAGGTTAGCTCTTAAACTAAATTGCCTATTAAATATTTTGGTTTAAAAAGTTCCTATAACTTACTGCCTACACTGGAACCAAATAGATGCATCTGCAAAGTTAGTCCTAGGCAGGCAACTATATAATCCGTTGGTTTTTCCCACAATCCTCGTCCTAAATCGGGGGAAGCTGTCTTAGACCCCATCCTATACGATGTTTTATAAACCTTGTTGAAAAACAATATTAATTTATAGAAGATGAATTTGGTCACTATGATCCTTTTTTGCAAGCCAATAGAGAGAGGTTTGAATAGTACAACCGCTGCCGGAAAACTAAATTCAATTCCGCTAAGAAACTGCTGTTCATCACACTCAAGTGAGATAACTATGTATGTATGTATGTTCTGGTCATAGTTACAAAAATCACTATAATAAACACATACTATATGTGATGTGCACGAGGTATGGATAGAGCTAAGTATATCTTGAAAAGAGAAAAAGCTCACACTCTGGGTTACCTCTCTCTCAAAATTCTTTAAATGATATGCCAAATGAGGAAAGTTATGAGGAAATTAAATTTCGTGATGACATATGTAACCCTGAGGGAGCATGCCATAAAAGATAAACTTAGTTTTCATATTTCAATTCATACATGGCGCTTTGTGCAAAGGCCTAATGAAACAGATATAGTATGTTGAAATTGTTTCTTTAGTAAAGATGAAAAGGCTCAAATACAGGCTAAAGAGGCTTCATCCAAAAATATATAATGGAGTATGATGAGACTTTTACACCAGTTGCAGGAAGTAATAGTTGCAGATTTTTTATGGATGAAAAAACAGTATTTTTGAGCGGAACTTCAAAAGGTGAAATGTACATATAAGAAGGTCCCAAAAGGCTTAAGCCAATGCGATAGTAATAAAGTATGTAGACTTGATAATCAATCTGGATATATTAAAAATATTTAAAACAATCCATATGGAAGATTGTAATTCGGAATCTGAAGGATCATGTGGAACTTAATGGACTCTTTAATGTATGTAATTCTGCTTTCACGACCAGATTTACGTACATTAAAAGTAAGAATAATATTCCTATTACCCTATATTCCCTATGATTCTAATTGGACTGGAAATGAAACTGACAAAAGAAGTACGAGCGGATACCTATGTATCTATATCTACCTATACCTACATATCTATGTCTATCTGCCTATCTATTTGGAGTGCCATGAAACAAAATTCTCTTGCGGCTTCATTTACCGTAGCCGAAGGTGTAAGAGAGCATTATGGCTCTTTAATGATGTTAATGATATTAAGAAGACCAAGGATGTATTAGCATAGCGAAATATCCTAAGTGCCGGAAGAGATATCATTTCCATTTTCCAGGAAGCAAAATAAACTAATCTGTATCAAGTATCTTCCCCTCAAACAAACAAATCCATTACCAACAGTTGCTGGATCAGAAAAGAAAATATACTTTATAGAGTCGGAAACGCTTCCTTCTATCTGTTACATACTTTTCAACGAATCTAATATACTCTTTTACTCTACGAGTAACGGGTATAAATACCCCAAACAAAGGAAAGATAAATACGAAAAGAAAAGAACACAGCCTTTAAAAAAAATGATTTTATTTTCTTCATTCATTTCCATCAGTGTGGATGCTCAGGTGGCGCGTTGAAGCTGCAAAAGTCACATTGATACCCACATACATATGGTGGTGGTGGTGTGATCTTGGACATAGAAAAGGCTCTCTCTCTTGGTTCTCTCTCTTTCTCTCTCTCTCTGCCACCGAGCTTTTGTTCTCCCTTTATACTTTGTCCACACTTTACTTTCATCCAGACAACGAGAACGTGCGGCTGTAAAGTAAATATTCTAAAACATAATTGGAGGACTTTATTATCACATAATCCTTCCCTTTTCCTTATAAAACACGTATACACGTATTTCCCAATATTTGTGTAATAACTTCGTGAACATATATCACTTATCACTTATTCATTCACGTCATCGATAAGCTCAAAAAGCTGGTCAGTCACCTCCGTTTGGCCTACAGCTTCCCCGTAACGCTGGCGGTGCTCCTTCTCAACCGGATACCAATCTGTGGGTCGACAGGTGCGTCTGAACCGCTCGCAAAAGGAGCCGCTGTTCTGGTAAACGTAGTAAAATCCATAGGCAGGTATTGCCAGAGCGCATGGCACCAAAAGTATATAGTGAAGCGAATGGACCACTGCATACTCCTGATAGTGTTCCCGTCTTAAATATTTTATTCCCGATACCTAGTATGGAAATTAAATTAGCAAAGTAACAAAATCGAATCCTATGTTGGTAACAAACCAAACAACCCAGCAAAATAAACGGAGCCATGAAGCGGAGTGTGAAAACCTTCCAGGAGGCAAACGGCTGCCCCAGCATGAACTCAATATCCCGCTGGAAACGTTCCCGCCCGTAGATCCAAAAAACCACCAAAATAAGTAAAAAGTGGAGCACACTGTGTGTCACAGCAATATTGTGAGCAAAGCCCATAACGAACATAATTACATGCTGAAAATCATACAAGACAAAATGGTTTATATCACAGTTAATGTTGTGTTTTAGATGTTTGATAAAATACTTACACCTACGGTATGAGCACAGGAACAAACTGCCAGGCCTCCAATGAGGCCAAAGGTTACTTCCATTTTTCTTTTTCTAAGTGTTTCAAACTCGTCAAATAAGCTTTGCAGGATAGTAAATATTTGTGTTGTCTGCAATTGAGAACAAGCAAGTTAAGACTAAAAACATTCTACTCAGGAAAATCCGGTCATATGTTTTACCATTTCAAACTTACCAACACAATAAGACCAGCCATTAATAACATTGTATAGAAAAGAATAGTCCAAAGGTTCGGCCAACCCACGGAGGACAAAGCAGAAGCACCGCTCAGATAGTAAGTCCAGTAGACCTTAACAATATGATCTTCAGAAAGTTCTGTAATGTTCACATTTTTTCTTAATAAATGGTTTCTGTCCGATGCTGCTTCTTATGTCTGGTTGTAGTTACCTTCGTAGTAGTGAACGATCATACAGTGAAGCATGTCAAACATGATGAAAATTAAGACCTGTCCGATGGAAATAATCCAACTGTACGACATTATGTTGGTCCTGAACCCATTGAAACTGGACAGAGCTATCACACTGCCCCAACCAGCCCCTAATCCAAATACGACCATACCAAATGTTCGGCCGATTTCGTATTCCACATAAAGGACTTTGGGAGCCAAATATCTTTCCATCCCTTTCATGGCTCCTGGGATAAACGAAATGCGTACAAAGCACACCAACAGAAGACACAGTGTTGCAACAACCATATATCGTATGATCTTTCCAAACTTTGCGGTCTCTGAAAACTTATAGAATATAACTGCAATCGTTGCCCAAATGAGAACGCAGAGGCCCACATAATTCCAGTCTACCGGATCGTCGTCTTTTGAGTTGAACGTGGTAAATTGGTAACTGTCAAAATAAAAAACAAATCAGAAAATATTATTTGATAAATAATAAATTAACCTTAGCATATAATGGTGTAATAGTATGGTGGATTAGTAATAACCTTCGCTGCTGTCACTTTGGACTCTGGTTGTAGTTTCCCTTCAATTTGTCGTATACTCAATATATATAAAACGAGAAGTAAGTAAAAACAACTCAGAACTTTTAGATAGCTTAGTTTTAGTCTTATTAGTTTATGTCTTATCCAATTTTAAAATAATAATTTTGTTAACGCCGATAATATTAACTGCCGCCACCTATTGTCAGAAAATAGTAACTAACCTCGCTGCCCATTTGATAAACTAAATAAATATGAAATAATGTTCCGATTTGAATAATTGTTATTAAATCGAGAAGAACAGAGAAGAAAGTGTTATACAAGTGTAATACTCAGTGTATACTAAGTGTAAGACTGCGTGCCGCCTCAAGAAGCGTCTCTAGAGTGCTTTGTCAAAACTTTGTATCTCTTATGTGAACTGTGATTTCAGCGTTCAGACGGACAGACGGGCATGGAAAAATAGACTCATTCATTTATCCCTACAAGGAATTTTATATATATAGTATATTCTTATATATATATTTACTTATATTTTTATTCTTGCATACAAGGTGCCTTCCAAAGTCAACAAGACCTTTATCGGCAAAATAAATTTATTTTATTCAACGATGCTTTCGGCTATTTTATGATGAACTCACTCACAGTTTCATTGGATTGATGTTGATCGTCATTTATGTCCTCACGACCTCTTTGGAAACTTTGAAACCACCCGTGCACTCAGCTACTGGATAGAAAATCATCACCATAAACTCGTTGCATCAAATGAAACGTTTTGGTAAAAGTTTAACCAATTTTTAAACGAAATTGAATTTGACTCTTTGTGATTTTTGCACTTTCAATCAATGAAATATCATGAAATTCTCGCTGGATTCAAAAAGTCCTGTTTACTTTGGTATGGACCTTACTATTATAGTGTAATACTTACTCAAAGTAGAGACTGGACGGTACGTTAACATATTTTGAATCATTGGTGTGTGTTGAAGAGTTTATATACGAGTAGCCCGATTCCATTGTTAAATGACATGTCTTTAAGCAACAAGAAAATTGTAATAGTTTTCGATTGAAACTCTCTTAATAACGTTTCTTACAGTAAGTCCTTGAGACTCATTGAACCACGACGATAACCCCTCGCAACTCCAAGGCAGAATGGGTTTAAAGGAGTGCCAGATGTAGAAAAGTGGAACAGAAGCGAACGTGACGTAGTAAATGAGAAAGATGGTAGTGAGGAAAATGCTCAAATATCCTATGCCTAAAAATCATAATTGAAATAAAACAGAATACATATTTTCTGGTAAATATTAGTTACCTTTAAAGAAAGGAGCCAGACGTAAGGCGGAGATGAAGCCACTGCTCGAAAACTGGCCCATATAAGAGTGAATGACCAAGACCGGAACCACATAGATAACCATATACACAAAGTATGGCAGCATTCCAACAACTAAAGTTAGCAAATAAAACTTAATTCAAGCATAAAATGTCTAAGATATACATTTAAAACTCTGATTTAACGTGAAACAGAAGTAAAACTTGTTCAGCAAAGACAATATATTATGTATAAGAAGTATTAGTCTTAGATATGCATTATTGGAACAACGCCCCTAAAAAGATAAGGTTAGCACTGA